TAATCAATTCCTAAAGGCCCCACCTCTTACTGTTGTTACAATGGCAATTACATTTCAGTATGAGTTTGGAGAGGCATTCAAACCACAGCACTAGCCTTGGACACTCTCATCATGATCAGCTAAACTGTGGAAAAACAGTTCATTTATTTCAATGAATAAAATTAAAAGCTTCAAATGTTGTATTAAATATGATCACCCAGGTTGGGTAAAAATGTGAAGAATTTAGAAAATGGTTTTGAACTCCTAGCACTGATACTACAAACCTGGAGTTGGTTGACTACAAAAGCTTCCTTCCACCCTCCTGTTTAATCAAGCCACAACCAACCCTGTACAGATGTCTACTTAGGTCCTGGTACCACTTGGAAGTAAATGTACAAAATCTAAAGACCAGGCAGACATATGCCAGGGAAATGTCATATGTCCAGAACTGTAGGGAAGTCAATGCAGAGACTTCCCCTGTCACGTCCCTTTACTCTGTATTTGAGGAAGAATGCCTTCAGGACACTTTGGAGAATTGACCTGCAGAGATTTCACAAAATGGCTGGAACATTTGACAGAAGAAGTATTAATTACACAAATTTAGAGGTATTTTATTCTACCTGAGAAAAATAGAATAGAGAAAGAATAATTGAGAGAATTTTGAAATACAATTTAAAAGGTGTGATGCTTAAAAATAATTCAATATGTGCTAATAAAAATGGGAAAAATATCTTAATTCATAAAAATATAATAATGACAATAAAGTACTGTGATGGTATACAGAAATTTCTGAGAGATGTGGCAGAGAAGTAAGCATTTAGGGAGAACCTTGGTAAAGAATGGTTGAATGTGAGGTGGTATGGTTTTGAGAGAAAAATTCTTATTTTCACATTTCTTTTCTAATATTCTACAGATAATACCTGAATTTGAAAGGTGATTTAAAAAGTGATGGACAATTTCTGGAGTCATTGGGAAATGCAGGTGCCATCATTTTTAGCTTAGATTACGTGTTCTGTGGATAACTTATTTGCTTAGGGAGTTGAGAGCTTCCTGAGATTTATTTTTATAGTTTTCATTTTTTCCTTCCACATTTAAGAAACCCATCAAACCCAAGTCTGTTAGCTGAACCTTTACAGAAAAGGAGACTGGCTTTTAGGCAAACAGCTGTCTGCATTGTACAGCTGCTAGGCCAACCCGCTGCCAGACAGGCCTCTGTAGTTCTGAGTCAGGCCAACCTACATCCTGTAATAATCAGCCCTAGTCATTTGGGGCTTTCCCTATGAGCAGACGAACAGTTGTCACAAATTTAATTGTGTTTATCCTAGTGTCATTCAATTTTGAGCCCAGTGAGCTAAACCTACACTAAAAACCACTACTATAAATCAACAATAGTTCAACGTAAGTGGGCTTCGTGCACGTGTTAGAGGTCAGTTTTTTGGCATGATTTGTAATTGGACAAAGGAACTGACTTACTTTAACCATGATTGTATAATCACAAACTATGCAAAGTAAGTTTCGTCCACTGTGTCTTTCTGTTATTTGCTTTCATTTTGCTTCCCAGTTACTTTATCATTACAGCAAGGTGAGGAGACATTTGTCATTTCAAGTTCTTGTTTCCTCTTTCTAAGCTGAGAACTTTGGGTGCATTCCAAGAAAAGGACACAAGGAATACTTGTTTTGTATATTCTAGTCACCCACATCAAAGCCTCTGCTCCATGTAACCCTAGGAACTTATTCCTAAGAAGAGACATCACAAGATCCTCACATTCTGTGATTGGACAACATCAGGATGAGGCTTTTGAAAGTCCCAGGGCACATGTGTTATCATTTCCTGGTGGGACTGAAATAGCTTGAGTAGAAACTGACTCAGTGAATCAAAGGGTCGGTAGGTTGCTTTACTGGACGCTTTCTGAACGTTTCTTCTTCCATCTCTTTTTGAAGAAATTAGTGGCTTGAGTCAAGGTTGATAAGAAATCTACTTTTAATACACATACAGACTAAAATCAGGGTATATTGCTGCTGTTTTATTAGAAGTAATAGGAAATATTCCCCCATGAAACCTCATTTTCAAAGGGAAAGTATAAACTAATCCCTAGGGCTTCCTTAAGAGTCCAGGATTGAAAAAGAAACCTTATCTGAGTGATTTTGTTTCCCACAATCATCATAGACATGGGAAGCTGAAGTCAGCTTTGTAAGTCTTTTAATATAAAGAAGTTCAAAATTGAGGGAAAAATCTAATGGCCGAGTGTCAGATTTGAAAACAGTTGCTATACAATAAAAGTCCTGAAAAATGTAGTCAGAATAAGCACTCAATCACTTTTATAGTGTATCTGAAGTCTCTTGCTGGAGACAAAATTATTTCATAAACTTAGTCATTGTAGCAAACTCAGTAATTTTATGGAAAAGTGATCAGAACATAATGATACATAAAACCAAATCTCTTTACACAATTTATTTAAAATTTATTGAATTTCCTGTGCTGTTACAAATGTAACATTCTCATATGCGACATTCATAGAGGAGGCACTGTTTTTATTTTGAGATGGTACAGATTAGACATTTTTTTCCTATGAATTACCCTTCATTAGGAAATTTAACTACATGCTTTTTTTTTTTCGTGGAAAGTTGCTTGGCATTCTATTCATAAGATAGAATTTTTCTATCATAAGATGACCATATGCAAACTAACAGTTCATGATCTCTGTCTTTATCCCTTCAATTATAAGCAGAGTAATTTCATATTGGAGTCTTCTTCAAACAGAAATTTTAAAAACTTATCATTTTTAGGGAAGAAGCTGACCTGTGTAGTGAACATGCTGATAAAAAGTGCTGTGAATTTGTCAGTCAGGAACTTGAGTGGGTTTTGTGCAAAGATTTCCTTTTGGGGTCTCCTTACCAGCCAGACCCAGTCAATCAACAGAACATTCCCTTCAGAGACATAGCCCAGACCTACAAGCGAGCAAGGGGAGGCCAGGGATGGATCTGTGTAAACTTCTGGTTTCTTGCTGGTTAGACTGCTTCAGGAATACATTTCTATGTTTTCTGGCATAACACCAATCTCATTTTTTAGGTTTCAGAGTTCTGTTTTCCCAATTCTTTCTCTTTATTATAGCACTGGCATTGGGACAGAATTTTAAAAAGTGACAAAGTGGCAAAGTGAGTCACAAGTCACTGAGCTCTTCTGTGTGTGCTTCAGATCAAACCTAGGGTCTGTGCATGCCAGGCAAGTGAGTGCTCTACCCCTGAGCTAGCTGTGTCCCCAGCCCTCCTTTTTTCTCACTAACACTTGGGTGTCACTATAAAGGAAGGCTGAGTTGAGGTTGAGGCAGGGACAGTGGGGGGTGGGGGAGAAGGAGTACACTGTTTTACTTCCCATCTACCTCAAAATTCCCTGGGGACAGAGGGTACCTGTTAGAAGGTACATTCTTGGTTCAGGTCCTAGATCTACTCAGAGTATTTAGAGGGAAACTTAGGAATCACTGCAAACAAACATCCACAATGATCCCTGTTCTACTTGGAGGATATACTGTTCCTTCCTAGATTTGCTATCTCATTCATACATTCTTGCCTTTTCTCTTCATCAGCTAAATAATGCTAATTATGCTGGATTTGGTTACTCTGGAAAGTTTTCTGCCTCCCAGTAATAGGGTTTGAGGCTCAAGAGTAATAGGAAGGAATAAGCTTCCTATTGCCCACAGGCAAGTTCACTGGGCTTCAACACTTCCTTTCCAAGGCCTTTCTAAAATCAGGTTTATTTAATTTTGTTTCTAGAAGAGGAGTGAGGGTGTTAGAAGAGATAGCAAGGTAGTCTTCTTGAGCAATGGATTTCAAATATTTGTGACCAAGTAGGGTGACTAGAAAACAATGATGTCCTGTACATTTGAAGAAGGTAGGAGAAAGGGTTTTGAAAGTTTTCACTATGAAGAAATGATCAATGTTTAAGGAGACAGATATGCTGAACCTGGCTTAAACATTACAAAATGTATGCATGGTACCCCATTAATCTGTACAATTCCTATGTTATGTATAACTATAAAAAAATTTAATTTAAAAAATGTTTGTAATATAAAAGCAAGGCTGGGGGAGCAGGTAGTAAAGTAACTTAACACAGCTACTTCCCTGACTATCTCAAGAATATACACCAATTTCATGGCTTTGTCAGTGCTTCTTTCTTACACACCAAGAAAAATGCTACCCAGGGCTTCGTTAGCACCCTAAGCCATTCAGTGTTAGGAGTGTTTTGGACTCCCAAAGCACGAAAAACAATTAATTTACATGGCCATTTTGATATGAAAAATAATTTTCTAAGAAAATCTGTAGTTTTTACTGGGCTACCACAACTAGAATGTAACAGGATCCTCTTTCTCTTATAACATGTTACTATTTGATGGTCCATATGGGGATACTGACATGGGAGGTGTTGGCAGGCATGCTTTTAGCTGTCTGCACAAAGCCTTCCAGGAAAATCCCGTAAGTGGAAGACAATATGCAGACTTTTAAAAGTAAAAAAATGCTGGGCTTGGTGGTGCACTTCTGTATTCTAGCTACTCCAGAGGGGGAGATCTGAAGGATCCTGGTTGGAGGGCAACCCAGGCAAAAAGTTAGTAAGACCCCATATTAGTAAAAAAGCCTGGTGTGGTGACATGCACCTGTGATTCCAGCTACTTGGGAGGCTATAGGTAGGGGGATTACACCCAGGCCTGCTCTGGCAAAAACAATGATGCCCTACCTAAAAATTAACTAAAGCAAGAAGGGGTGTGGGTGTAGCTCAAAGGATAGAGCACCAGCCTAGCAAGAGTGAGACCGGGTTCACACTTCAGTACAAAATAAGATTTTTTTTTTTTAAGTAGATGAATGATTGCCTCAGGGTGGGGAAATATTACACAGGGGCTGGGGAAACTTTTGAGGGTGATGGTGTCAATGGTAAAATACGTGAAGTTTATTAGGTCACTAATACCTTAAGCTTAAAAAAAAAAAAAAAACCTTAGTAATCACTTAAATTCCTAACGAACAAACTGGATGAGAACCATTAGAGGGAGTGGTACCTAAGAGGAAAGAAGTAGCAGTTTGGGCATTATTCCCTCTTTAATAGTATAGAGTTCAGCTGCCTGCCCTAGTAAACAAAAGGGTTAGAAGAAACAGGTGGAAACGAAATAGCATTGTATCTTGTTTTATAAAATTTCTCTCTACAACTAATATTTAAAAGAAATGCATAGGCTAGAAACAAAATTTGCAGAAAACAAGAACACTTTTGTTTTGCATTTTTTCCTACCAATATGGAAGTATCAAAGTAACAACTAACTATACGGGTAATTTTTAATTCAGGAACAATTAATAGTGTTCAACGGGACATTTAGTGGTTTCCAATACCGATTCCAAAATTATGCACAAATACTGTATATTTCACAAACACTTAATGACAGTGCATAAGAACAGATATGTATGTGTACATCCTTTACTATGCTAGGACCAGAAGGTTGGAGACAACAAGGTAAGTCAGTGTTTTGGAAACAAAAGGCTGGATGTGACAGGTTAAGTTGTGTTTCCAACTTGAGCCACCTGCAAGCTGACTTAATCATGAAGCCCTCTTTGCTTAAGATCTTGGGCAGGCTGGTTAATCACAGCAATTTTTAAATAATTAATTCTTTAGATCTCAGTTTGAAAGAATTAATGGTAAGTCTGTCTCACACAATTTGCCCTTTTCTCTAAAAGCAGAGGCTGCAAAAAAAGATCTTACAACTCTGTAGGTGTACACTCTTAAAATTATGTATTGAAATTAAGGTTCTGTTTAAGAGAAAGACTCATGCAATGTGCAGTTTAAAAGTATTTTTACAAAATAAATTCAATTAAGTTAGAGGCTCTCGTGCTGGTTTGATATGTAATACTTTCAATAACTGGAAAACAAAAAACCCCAATGCTTTAAATCTTAATTCCACTGGCACATATTTTCCATATTTCCCCCAAAAGAACATTTCTAAAGCACAAAATAGATTCATAATGGTTTAATTAGATACATTTTGTATATCCTGAACATAATGGCTCTCTTAGAAATAAACTAATACTTTGTACACAAACTTTATTTACTGTGCCACATTCATAATACACTGAGCCAAGTGCAAACATTTATTATGCCCTCTGCTGTGTGTGGAGCTCTGCTCCCACAAACACTTCCTTACCTAGGATAACAGAGAACACGATTAGACAGGATGGATAATTAAAATCCACAAAATAACAAGGTACTTTAGATTATAAACGTTTCTCCAGCCACAGCTGTAACCAGTATTAAGCAAAACACTTCAGTCAGGTTTACCTCCCTAACCATGAGAGGGCCCATGGTTCCTTGGGACAGGATCTAATGATTGAATAGAGGAGTTGCTGAGAGGCATGGGGCCAGAATAATCAAGAGTAGCAAAAGGTTTGGAAATTATCAACTTGGCATCCTTCGTATTGAAAATCTTTTGGTTTCTCTTATCCAGAAAATTAGATTTGGTCCCCCACCTCCAAATATAATTAATATATACCATTAAAAGGTATCTTTAGTGAGATTTATTTTTTTATAATTGCCTGGAAATTAAAGGGAAGGTATTTTAAAGTAACCCATGAAAAATTATAATTAAAAACAATAAAATAAAGCAAAACTGGAGCGTAAATTTGTACCTTGAGTAGCAGCATCCAAAAATCAATATAGTTTGTAGTGGGTCTATGGAAGTGTCTGTGTGTGCCATTGACCTCTTCAGTCTAGCTCAGTCCTGTGTCATTGCCACTTATTACTGCTTTCCTTAATGACCATCCTAACCAGAGGAAGGAGAGTGCAAATAAATACAAGGACACATGAAGTCCTCCTCTACCCTACCATTTTAAGGAAAAACAACAAAACAAAAATGTGCTCCTAAAATAAAAAGGTTTATATAAAATTCTAAGGGATACTCAGGTTTTTAATCAAGAGAATAAGATAATATTCTATCTTTTTGCTGGTTAGTTTCCAAAACCCAAATATTAGGTAGATGAAAATTCCAACAGGGTAAGTCTCATAATTTCTATAACCACGTGTCAATAAAAAGTGACATAGAAGAGGGGTGTCACAGGAGTGTTTGATGGGGGAATTAGTGAATCAGATGTTATAGAATTAATCCTAAATTTAACTGTTCACTTGAGTGGGAATAATTAGGGTACTTGAATCCTAAAAGATAGTCTAACATAAGATACTATAAAATGTAATTTAAATTAATTTGACATTTTTCTCATTCTCATCTTGAAATCCTATCAGTTTCAGGTTGGCTCTGACCAGCATTCACCACTTGATTTGTATTTTGAACTTATGTAGTCAAGGTTCTATTATTTTTCCTTTTTCATGATTTATCACCCAAATGCTAGGTACAGTGGTTGCTTCCCCAAGGGTCCTGAGTTCTCTTCCAGCTTTGATACATCCCATCTTTCAGTCATCTGATACCTTACCTTTCTACTTTTCTGCTTGCAGTACTTTATGTCACAGGATTCTTTTCTTATATTTAAGCTACTCTGAGACTGTTCAGGGAAATGCTAGTAAGTACAGGCTAGAACCACTTTAAATAGTATTTTAAGCTTTATCAAAGGAGAACAGACTTCTGTGAGGAAGTCATTAGGATTCTGATTAAATTCTAATTAACATTAAATACATGTATCTTGAGGATAAAAGGTGTCAAGAAGAATGAACAGAAAAATAACAGATGGCAAGGGGAAGATTTTACAACCATAGGACAAGCTGTCTACAGACTCCAAACTGGAGTTCAAGTTGCTAGAAAGGATGGGAAGGGTGTTCAAGTGGAATTTTCAGATCCGGTGATGGATTAGGGAATTTATTTCAGAATGAAATTCCATTCTAACTAATGAGAACTATACATGTAGTATATGGACTTGGATAAAAGGAGGAATTAGTTTTGGTATAACTAAAATATTGCTCCATCTAGTGGAAATTTTGGAGTTTTGCCTTATGTTCTCATCAGCAGCTCTTTGTTTGTTGGTTAATTAGTCATTATTAGGAATGCTTTGGTGAGGAGAAATAACACTGAAGTCAACACCTCATAACAAAATATAAAAATGTCAGTAACCTTGTTATCAGACTTAAAATAATACTTAAATTCTGATGGTAAGAATCTAAGAATAAAAATCCAAGAAGAAAATATACGTAATTTTATAATTCACTAAGAAAATCTCTAGAGAATTTTTTTTTAAACCCACAGGAATTTATATAGTCATCTACGTGCAGAAACTTAGGAATACCAATGCAAGTTTCCTACAAAAGCTTCTGTATATTAGTGGAGGAAAAACAAATCCTCAAGTATACAAAACACATTTCTGCCTGCCACCCTTCCTTTTGGGATGGATAAATTCTTTCACCTAAATTTGGTATCTCAGAGTGCTCCTAGCAAGGTAAATGCTTAATATGTACTCATGTATCATATGGAACTACGTGATAAAAATAAGAAATACGATTTTGCATAGGATTCATTTAAACAATGCAAATAAGCTACTAGCATTCTTGTTTCTTTTCTCAGTGGAATTTGAAGTGTTAATGGGGTGAGATGTGTGTTACATTGTGCTTCACTTAAAAACAGTGACTGTTCTTACACTACCGATCCCACACAGAAATTCCATATGTTTTTTGTTATTTTCTTCTGTAGTTTTAACACCGATGACAAATGTCCAAATCAAACACAGATTTTACCAAACAATGGGGCACACTGTGAGGTGAGATGGAAGAGGGATGGTTTATTATCTGATGCAGGACAGGAACTTAACGAGCAATCTGAATACAGAGATCTACTTCACACATTTGTCCTTCTTGCCCTTCAGATATACCATGTAGTAACTGACTTATCAAAGTAAAGCACACGTTGTTCACATATTTAATCCATTTATGTTACTTGAATCATTGTTCTGATCGAGAAAGTGAATCATGCCATGATTCAAAAGATCTGTCCTTCACATAAACCTATGAGCACAAATTTAAAAAATGGTTTATTGTACATCTTTGCATTTCTTAAGGCATGAACAATGGCATACAGATGGAACAGGTTCTGGGAAGCATCACGCTTGTTTTGACGAGGCCAGCACAAGCACACCACATCAAAAACACTTGAAGTCTGAACCAACTGACTGCTGTGCCCCACGAGCTCCTGTAGTACGGGGATGGTGCCTCTAGACAACGGACCAAACATGTGGTTTTTATGTTGTTTTTAAATCTTCATCAGCTTTAAGCACCAGTTATAGCTTATTTTTCTTTACAAATGCTTCAGACTTTGGATTTTATCTTCTGTTCCTTTTCTTCTGCTTTCCAAAGAGGGTATGGATTTGTTTTTTAAGGAAAATGGTTGCAGCAAAACAGAAAGGACTCAAAAGTGTTTAGGGGCCTTGTCTAATGCACTTTTGAAAATCCATTATAAAGATGAGTAGAAAAGCAAATGGTAGGTTTTCAGTCGACCCAGAAACCACACATAGCTATAAGAAACATAATTGTGCATAGTTATTTATTCATTCAGAGTGTGATATGTTGGCTAGCTCTACATTTCCAGTTTACCAAAGAACAGGGCTGTCTACTTTGCTAAACCCAGGGTCCTTTCGAAGTTCCCAATAGGTGTCATTAGAAACCCAGGCTTCTCTTTGATTTGCATCGATAACTTTTCTGTGAAAATATAAAAATCAACATTAGCTACAAATCATATCAAGGTCAACTGATAATTGGACCCTGTCCTGTAGATTAGACATTTATATATAAGCAGTACTTTGCAAGCCATCTGGTAGCCTATCTACCAACAATTGACAATCTGACTATTTTTGACCAGGAATAAATTGGTTTTTGTGTTAAATGTTTGAAATGAAAGCAGGTGGGAGGATTGAGGATAGGAACAAATTACCTCCTGGAAGGGACAGGAAGCAAAGAGCCTCAAACACAGCATGTATAAATACTCTCAACAGGAGCTTCTAGCCTCAGACCCACAAGAACAGTTTCTACTTTACTTTCAGGGAAAAGCATGAAGCATCAGTGACTTTAACAGCCTCTGCAGGGCCCAAGTCTACAGGGCGCCTGTTAGACAAGTGAATCGTGAGGCTGCATTTCTGCTCCACGTGGCCAGGGGATCTAAAGTAGCTGAGGCTACCCTGAGCTTTTCTGTCCAGGCTCTAAAGGGCAACAGATAGATCTGGAAACTATGGACTCATCTATGTGATGTATAAATAATCCTGAAAAAATAATCCTGTAGTAATCACCTATGCACATACCCTAGAGAGACCAAATCTGAGTAGACGTAAGCTCTGTGTGACAGAAATTAAGTCCTAATGAAGTCATGATGACCCAGCCCCTGGGTGAGGAGTTAAAACAAGTTTTTAACCATTCTAAAGGGAACTGCTGATGGACAAAACCTTTGGTGTGAGACCCTCACTTTCTTTTAATGTCCATAAAAAGAAAAGACATACAGAGAAGAATTTATCTTTATGGTTACTAACTTTTTGTAAGTGTAAAATCTGACTCAATATTTTTTACTGCCAAAAGTAAAGTTACAAAAATTGATTTAGTTTTTCTAAACTATATTATCCTCACTTTCTTTTCATCTCAAGTTTCTTATGGATTGTAGCAACCATTTGCAAAATGTGAATTTGTTATGGGAATGAGCTGACTTACTTAAAAAATTTTGGTATATGTTCAAGGTTGTTTTCTTCCATGTATCGTCTTCGAGATCTCTGGAGTTCCTCTACTCTTTGCTTCTCTGCTGCTGCAGCTTCTAAATTTCCTTCTTCCAAAAATCTGATCAGAAAGCAGTTAATATTTTAATATGTTGCCCTCTTTTTAGAAAAAAGTCATTTGCATAAAATTATACTCTGGTTGCAGTGAATATAATACCAAGCAGTGACACTCTGGCAATTCATATACTTTATGAGCATGTAGACTGAATTATTGCATTCAGAAAAATAACAATAGGATGGAGAGGGGAGTGGTTTGGTCTTGAAGACTTTGCTGTGCTCTCTAGCATACTAGAAGCTGAGATTTTCAGAGCCCATGGTGAGAACAACATGAAGTCGCAAGTTGTGCTCCTTTTCCATAGTACCAAAAAGCACTTGTTAAAGGCTATGGAAAAGAGAATGGCAACTGGTTGTTTTCCATCTATTTTAAGAACAGAATGAGAGGCAAGGAGTTTTCCTGTTTTGTTGGGGAGAAGAGTGATGAAAAAAGAAGGTAACAGGGAAAGTCAGAAAAGGACATGGAATAAGAAATGAAATTCAGAAAAGAAATACTGAAATAAAACTGAGAAGGAAAAAAAAAAGCAGACCCAACAGTGATTTGCAAATATTTACATTTCAAAATGAGACCAAAAAACCCAAGATATACTATGACACACATTGTACAGAGTTAACCGATAAAATCTGAATGTCAAACTGTGAGATGCATGTTCAGAGTAGGGGGAAATAAAAGAGTATTACATTTGGTAGTAGAACACACTGAGTACCAGTAGACTAGAAGAACATAAACTTGTAGAACATTCTATATCAGGAACATTTTGACAGAAAACAGTTAAAGTCACAAATATGTGGGAAAGAGAAAACTGATCTTGGATAGAATTTGGATGGCATGCAGAGTTTTTGGGAATAGTAAAATGAATTCTGTAATAGTAGACATCATGATTATTATATAAGTAATTATAAAAAGTAAGAATCAGAAGGCATGAAAGATACTGCATTTTTAGTAGAATCTCACACCCTGTGGGACCCAAATCATGTTGGACAAACTCTGGATTTTCACTCAAAGCATTTCTGCATGCTCTGTAACCTACCCTCTTACTTGTCAAGTTAAAAGATACTTGATGTTACATGGTAATAGACATAAAAAGGTGAAAAACATTGGGTGAGGAGCAATTCTTTATTTAGTAGAGGGTTAATGAATTTGTAGACCTTTAGTAAATTTTGGAGGGGAGGAACTTTGTTAAAACACAGCCATGTTACTGTTCATTGGAACTTTACATTGAGGTAAGTTTTTGCTATGATCATCCTACAAATACTACTTGATTGGAAGCAGAAATTTTCTGGGTGAAATATTGCTGGGTGAATAGGGAATGAAGGAATGACTGAATAAATAAACAAATGACAGTGGTGAACATAAGTCTCAATGGCCTCTAACCCCCATGCTGTGATCTGGGCTATATCAGAAATACCGTTGCCATCCTTACCTTTGATCTGGTCTGAATCGGGCATCTGTTGGTGGAAGGAGATCTTTTAGTACTGGATCTAACTCATTGAGTTCAATGGCAAATCTTGTGAAGCCATAATAGAGTTCATAATTGGTTGGCATGGAACCTGGAAAGACACCAGTGAACCACTGTGAGAGATGAAAGACTTATAAAAAGAAGCAGCCAACTGATTCTGGTGTCTAATTAGTACACATGCTTGTGCCAAATCTATAGTCATAAACACTAGATTATGAATTTTTCCCAATGAATTAGATTGTTTACATTTTCCTAGCAGGAAACTTTATGTTGAAGATCCTAACTCATAAATAAAGATATTAATAAAATCCAGTCTTTAGAATAAAACTTTGTTCTATAGTAGTAGTCTTTAATGGCTAAACTACCTAATTTTTCTCTCACATATTCAATTGGGAAACTAAATGCCAGGGTAGTTAATTACAAACATTAAAATTTCACCAGAAACACTTGTTATTTACTTCCTTTTAGAAATGAAAAAAGATGCAGATATAAATTAACATTTAGTGGCTTTTTCCTTTCTTTCTCCTCCCTCTTCCTCCCTCCCTCCCTCCCTCCCTCCCTTCCCTTTTTTTTCTTTCTTTCTTTCAGATGGGATTCTCTCTTTTTGCTCAGGCTGGTGTTAAACTTTCAGACTAAAGTGATCCTCCTGCCTCAGTGTCCCAAGTGCTGGGACTACAGGTGTGTCCCATCACATCTGGCAATACAGATACTAGATGCACAGTCTCTCATGTGTAGGTAAGTGCTCTACCACTGGTTTACACCTCAGTCCCTTCTTGGCACTTCTAACTAAACTCACAGGCAGGATTCCTTGTGGCTTTGCTCATTATTGATACAGTCCAAACTCCCAAAACAAGCCTCATCAGGTCATACTCATCATAATCAGTACTCCAGAAGTAGTTACTAATAAGTAAGCTAACCAGTCTATTAGCAGAAAATTTAAATAGTCATTGAAGCCTCCTGGAAAACCAATAACTAATTTTAAAGTAAAGTTAATTGACAAATTCCACTAAAAATAAATCCTGTGGCGACTGTTCCATTTATACTTGATATCCAACTATATGTTAACATATTATCAGGACTCTGTTGATATCTTTTTTAGATGTCAACATATTGCAGCTTTTTGCTACTCAAGTGAAAACATCACTTATTGTGGTGAGTTATTGAATTTGTGGATTATAGATGTTTGCAAGCTTCCCTTTGTTTTATCAAAATAGAGAATAAATAACATGGGTGAGGATTTCAATGATTTAAACTTTAGCAAAGAGAGTTAAAGGTATGCTTAATTTTTGAAGAGTATGTATTAATTACATGTAGAGTGATTTCACATGTCAGAGTGTAACATGTCAGAGATTTTGCCTAATTTTTTATCATCATGCATCAAATTGGCTTTTACATCTAATGTACATGCTAAGTGTACATGTAACTCTAACTGCTGTAAGCATGTACATTTTTGATGTCACTGTTAAAGTGAACACAAGGCAAAATGCATGGGCTGACATGACATTCCCTTCCCTTTTGCTGTTTCCTTTGGCGTCCCTTTTCCTGAGGCAGGACATCTAGCTGGTCTCACCTGGTCTCCAGATGCATTTTGCAGAGGGGGCCACACCACAATAGAGTCCTTCGTGCCACTTCCCAAACAGCCGGTGCACCACCTTCCCCTCCTGGTCCATCACGGCCCCCTGTACTTCATTCACGTTGGAGTTCCAGTAATTCACCTGGAGAACCAAACCCCAGCCACGTTAGTGAAACACCAAGCTCAATAACGTCCATGTGGAAATTCTTCTTTACCTTGAAGTCCCTCATTCAAGTCATTTTCAGAAATCTAAAAAATTTTTTACATATTATGGAAGGTTGGTTTTCTAAGTATTAGTTAGGCTTTTTTTTTTTTTTTTTGAGGTAAAGCTTCAAACTCCTGATCCTCTGGCCTCAGCTTCCAGAGTGCTGAGATTAATTTTGAGGCTAGATGAACTTTTAAGAAATGGATGATCCTGAGCTGGGAACATGGCTGAAGCATGAGCAAGGCCTTGGGTCCAATCCTGAGTACTGAAAAGAAAAAAAAAGATACTCCCTACTCCATGCTATTAGCATAGGAGCAAGGCACAGAGAGGCTCAGTTTCTATCCTATAAACACAGTATTAGGTTTACAGGTTTATTTATTGGCTAGTAATTTTTTTCTCAGATCTTCTTGTTTTGAATTTTCCCTTTGTTCATGGATTTTTTAATAAACTTCAATTGGTCATGTTACACAAATAGTTGATGGAATCTGTAACATACCTACACAGACATGGAGGTGATGGTGTATGTTCTATTTCAGACCAAAGTCACTACGTGAAAATACTGTTCTATGGCTTTTCCTTTTTCTATAGTACTGGGGATTGAATTCAGGGTCTTGTGCTTATAAGGAAAGTGTTCTACCACTGAAACCATGCCTCCACTCCCTTTGCTTTTAGTCTGGTTTTCAGACAGTGTCTCCCATTTTTGCCAAGGCTGGCCTTGACCATGATCCTCTGACCTCTGACTACTGAGTAGTTAGGATTACAGTTGTGCCTTACCATGCTCAGTGCTATGTAGGCATTTCTAGGCCAAACATGTTTTCTTGTTAATATGGGTAATATTTTGTTGAACTTATTTGGATTACAGTGGTGGTGAGAATGAATAAGCTTGTAGTGACTGGAAGCTATCATCTTCATGGCTGCTTTGTTCCAAGTATTTTCAGAAAATGACAATTGCATTATAATCATCTCCCTAAAATAAGATCACTTGAATATACTATGTTGTAATCAAGAAGGAATAGAAACAGAAATAGAAACCCTGGTATAGACAAGAAGTGCTTTCTGGAATTTTACTTATTGAACTACTGATTGGCTATTTAAACAGAAGATTCTTTAGAAAGAATTTTTTTTCTATTCATAGATGGTATCTTTTTTGACTTCTACATGTTCAAAGCTTTCACACCTTAGCAATTCCTTAAGCTGCTTCTGCTTTCTTATCTAAAATGTCCTTAAGACCAATGATACAGGACAGATCCACTTGTTTCTATTTAAGATGACGTTCAATTTCTTCCTTAGGAAGCATTCTGTACTATTTTTCCCTTTTTGCTTTATGATATTATTTACCTTGACAAATGTGAGTTTGCAAATGCAAATGCTGCTTTTGGTATTTCTAATGGTTATTTCTCCGTAATGCTCTATCCATCTTCTCCCACTAAGGATGTTGTGTATGCATGTGGTGACTTTATTCCACACATAGTAATCCCCATACCTAGTGAAGGAGATAACACTGATTAAAAACAATGAAGACCACAAGTATATTAATGTTTCTACTAATGAGAATATTCTTTGAGCAAAACTTCCCTTCCTCTCATTTCACTCTTTTCTTGAAAGTTTCTGTATAGTCATAAATATTTATGACATGATTCATTCATTTAAGACTCTATGGGCCTAAAGCTACAAAGTTGAACAGGGCCTATTCTGGTTGCTCTGTGGCCAACAGTATGATGGGGTAAGATGGATATGTAAACAAATACTCAAAGTCAAGTATGATGAGGGTCATAAGAGACAAACGAAAAAAGTATTATAGGGACACAGAAGGAAAAACCCTTAGTCCTTAATTCTGTCCGGAATATGGGGTAAGGATCAAGGAAGATGTCCCAGAGGAGGGTTCAATCTAAGTTTTGATGGTGACAGGGAGGGCACTATGTGCTGGAGGAAAGCACCTACAAGTCACAGGGGCCAAAAGAACACAATATGTGTGGGGACCTATGAGTGGTGTGCTCTGGATGAGTGGCTGTGACGGGAGGCAGGGAAGGCCTTCAATAACCTACCAGTCTAGATTTATTGGCAGGCAATGGGCTGTCATGGAGGGATTTGAGAGGAGGAAGAGGGTTAATAGGGTATGTATTTAAGAACGATATTCTGAGAACACTGTTTCATACTCCCAGTTAAGGTCAAAGATGGGAAAAATTCTTTGGGAAAAAGACTGACAGGCATCTCTAACATGGCACAAATTCAACACAAATTCTGGAGAGTAAGCTTACAGAATTTCTGCCAAGGAATGGAATGATATAGTTTCAAACTACATTTAAGTTTGCTTATTATGTATATTTTCAAATAAACTTATTTCAAAATAAAATAAATGTTTCTAAGATTTTAATTAGTATGATGTAGGTACTATAGATACCAGGGAAAAATTTTTTCCTAATGAATTTTCAAATACTGAGTTTATCTCCCTCTCCTCACCTCACTTCGTATCTAATCCATCAGCAAATTCTGTCATTCAAATAGCCCAAAACAGGACCTACCAACCAACCAACAAACAAACAAACAAAAAAAATCAAGCCCTTGGCCTCAGTGAAAATATCATTTTACAAAGATTTATAAGTTATACCTTCTAAAACACAACCAGAAAAGGAATCCATCATTCAGTTTTGATAAAATTACTTAGAAATTTAAAATAGGATGTGGATCTAAGATAGATTCAAAAGAGCAATTATAACTTGTATAGAAAAGAAATGTATAAAAAGAGAGACTTTTCCATACAATGCAAACTAGCATTGTGATGGGGACGTGGCAGGTACCTGGTTTTGACTGATGAATGATGTGAAGAGATAAAAGAGAAATCTTGGTACATTTGCTGAATTTCTCATTTAATTTCATAGGGATTTATATTTGAAATCGTGGTGAAGGTAACAGAAGCTTTGAACATACTGGGAATCTTGGACCTTTGTTATCTTCTACTCTAAAATGCTCATTTTTGATTTAGAAAAGCAGTCAAGAGGCTGGAAGGGAGAAGAGAGTAACCTACTTTGGAAGCATGACATTCAATGTTCCAACAGGCAGGATTTCCATCGACTTTCCCCAGAACTTGTTTTTCCATCTGATATCTAAATGACATAGGCAGAGGACAAAAACATATACTCCATACCTAATCATTTGTTCTGCAAAAACTAATTTTGGTGTTATAATTTAAAAAAACATTTCTGTATTACAATTAGTTTTATCCTGCAGATTTAACACAAAGGCCTGAAGATGGCCCAAGGTAAAAATATTAATTGTAACCCCCCCTAAAAAAAACTCCACGAAACTACTGTCTGTTTCTCCATAATCAAGCTCCATATCTGCTTTCAACTAACAAAACTAAGAGAAGCCTGGAAAATACATATGTATGTATAAATATGTAGAGAGAGAAGAGAGAAAGGAAGAGAGAGAATAAGGAGGAGGAGAGGAACAGGAAGAAATGATGACGAGGAGGAGGACAGGAGAAGAAAAGAGAGGAAAGAGATTAGAGAAAGGGGGGAGAGTATGCGTGTGTATTCACATATACATATAAACATAGACTCCATAGTGCTTTAATGTTCAGGCAGTAACAAATGCTAAATGTTAACTAAGTGGTAAAAATAGTTACCATATATATCAAGTCTGATGTATATGCAAAAGTAATTGCAGTATGGCAATTTATACACGCATTTTTCCCTCCTGCATGGAACAGTAATATATAACTTGGGAGAACAGTAAAAAATGAAATCTCTAAATACAGATATGGAAGATTTATGAGAAAGTGGTATTAACTTAATGAACACATTCTCACACTGGTTGTTAAGATACAGCCAGAGGCCCACCACTTTATCACACACAGCTTTATGCTCTGATCTGGAGACTCTTATTTTCTTACATATTTGTAACATCCACCTAGTTTCATTTCAATGAACCAAGGGATCTTAGTTCTATCTCCACAAACTTCTTGATTCTTGATTATAATCAAGTAGTGATTTATTGTCTTGTTTTGCAATAAAGTACACTTACAAGCACTCTGTCATTTTGTGTGTTTCAGGTAAAGAAAATGCTCATGAGTAGAGTCATTCTCTGAGCAATGAAGCACTCTTCCAAACATGGAAGAGCTAGTTACACTTAATGGTCAAGTTCACATACATATTCTTTTCTTTTTAAAGAGATTTCAAAACTTTATTTGAGGCAAGTTTGTAATATTTGGATAGAATAATGAGCATTAGTAAGTAGAGACTTCATTACAAATTCCAGAGCCCTAGTGAGTTAACAGAGCATATGTCACTACAGTATTTACATAGTCTTCTCTTGGTATTTGTGGGGAATTGGTTTTTGGACACTGGCAGATGCCAACATCTACAGATACTGAAGTCCCTTATATAAAACGCAAAGTATTTGCATATAATCTATGCACATCTTCCTACACACTGTAAATCATCTCCAGATTTCTTATGATACTCAGTACAATGCAAATAATTGTGATACTGTATTTCTTAGGGAATAAAGATAAGAAAAAAGCTGTACATGTTCAGTACAGATGGACTCATTTTCTCAAATATTTTCCATCTGCAGATATAGAACCCATGGATGTGGTGGGCTGACTGTACATCTGAACAGACTTTGACCACAGAAGATGTGCCACAGAGTTTTCCTTCATGATGAAAATCTCCTTCACCCCAAGAAGCAAGAAGGTTGCAGATTTCACCTCCACATTACAGATGCTGACAAAGTACAATGAGGGAAGGTGATGGTGCCAAGCTGGCAGTTAGCATGGAGCTCTGCTTTTCTTCTAATTTGTCTCCTAGATAAGCAATCACATTTCCAAGATGATACACTTTTGTTTTGTTTAGTGATACTGGGGTTTAAACTCAGGGCCTCACATTTGCTAGGCATACACTTCACCATTGAGCCACACCCCCAGCCCAAGATGACACAATTTTATATTAAACCAGGATATTTAATTTCTCAAACTGAATTCCATACCAATTACCAACCCTTCTCTGAGTTTCAAAGATAGAAATCTAAACTGAGTAAATGTACCTTCAGAAGTCATTAGTTTTTCCATAGGCACACAAATTTGACTACAAATTACTACTGAAATACAAACCTTGCCAAAACACAAAATTCTTTGATTCACAGTGGCAGGCAGAAATGGGTGGATGATGGCTAACCTGGTAATTAAACACAAAAAAGAAGGCAATTGGCAGCAGTGTTAAAACTTCCACAAAAAATGCTTTTTTTTTATAATGTAAAATGGTCACCTCCAGCTGAAACTATAATTCATCCATTTAGTGATAGCTGTGAATTTTATTCTCAAAATGTACAAGTAAATCATCATTGGCAGGACAAGGTTGCAGATAAGCTAAGTGAGTTTTCTGTTAACTGCTGTCACAACCCATCCCAAATGGACAGTTATCAAAAGGGCATTTCATCACCAAACTGCCTTTGGAGTCTGCCTGTATAGGAACCTCACTTACTTGTTCTGAGAAAAATCGGAATCCCTTGTCTTCTCTAATGCATTCGTAAGTCTCCCCAAGGACTGGGTTGAATGGCTTACTTCCTGCTCTGAAATACGTAGAGCAATACCCTGAAACTGCAAATGCAGCAACGAGAACCTGTGAAGACATTCAAGAAAGGAACGTAAGACAGGAGAGACTACTTCCAGATCTGTTTGCCTCTACACCTCTAGATTTTATATATCCCATGTTGATGGGTGTTGATTTCATGCCATTTGCTTTTCAGTTATTTGCACAAACTCTTCATCAGTGTGTATGGGGAAAAATAAGTAAAAATGAAGTTAATACACATCCTTATATCCTGTACTTTCACAGATGTTGTTTTATGATATTGTTGATGCTCTGTCATTCTCTTTTCCTTTCCCTTTCCCTGAGTTCCATAGAGTAGTTCCACTGTTACAAACATGTTCTACATATGCATTAGTATATGATCATGCTTGTTTTTGTGTGTATGTTTATCTTTGGATCTATCTTCCACATGAGAGAAAACATGCAGCCTTTGTCTTTCTGTTCCTGGCTTACTTCACTTAACATGATGTCCTCCAACTGAATCCATTTACCTTCAAGCCACATGTCATTATTCCTTATGGCTGAGTAATACTCCATTGTGAATATATACCACACTTTTTTGATCCATTCATCAGTTGTTTCCATAGCTTGGCTGTTATGAATAGTGCTGTGATGAACACTGGTGTGCAGGTGTCTCTATTGTATCCTGTCTTACGTTCCTTTGGGTAGATGTCCAGGAGCGGTATCACTGGATCATACGGCAGTTTCACCTTTGACTTTTTGAGGATTCTCCATACTGCTTTCCATAGTAAATACATTGAGAATCCCCTCTGAACATCAACTTAAATATTAATAATGAAAGACAGGAATGTAAAATAGGTATAGTGTGTGTGGGGGGGGTACTACTCGGAGGGGGAAGGATGAATGAAGGAGATTAAAGTAAGGGAATAGGTGGATGGACTTCATATACTTATGTGAAATAGAACAAAGAAACCTCTTGCAATTGCTTTAAGTGGAGAGAGAGGGGGTTAAAGGGGAGAGACAATGGGGGTGATCTAACCAATGTACAACCACCCCCTGTATAATGAATATATCCTAATTGAAAAATTTTATAATAAAAAATGAGGTTAAACTACTCCTATGAGAACCATCAGGTCACTAATGACAAGTGCTCTTCATTCATGTGTCCACCCAATTTTGTGAGAAGCACAGAGCTCAAAGGTCCTGAAATCTAGTTTATAGGTTATGCCATGTGCACAGTCTTAGTCCTGTGTGCGGGGAGGAGGGTGTGGCTGCTAGGTAGGACAAGTTTTCCACAATCATGTGGAGTAAAGAGCAAAGTACCAACAGCAAGTTATGTTTTTACAACTAAGCTCCTGCACAAATAGGCATTCAGAAAAAGCTGATAAAGCAATGCCCAACATGCTTTCAACCTACGAAGAGCATATCACTGCATCCTAGCTTTAGAAATATTCTAGGCCACGCAAAAACCACATCATGTAGATCTTCCAGTAAGGCTACCTAGAACTTTTTAGGCCTAGTCAACTATACAAATGGACCAATTCTTTGCTTACTTGCACAGGGAGAATGGCATGAACAAATACTATGTGTCACCACAATGGCTTGTAGCTTAGCTCAGGTCCTGCCCTGCCCCTTACCATGCGCTCATATGGATCATCAGTCTCTGAAGCCTTGTCCAGGAGCTCACTGTACTCGATCTCCTCACAGAGATGCTGCAGGGTGTTGAGCGGCTCGTTGAGCTCCACAGGCATCGAGACTTTTGACAGGTCTTTACCAATGTTGTTCCTCAGGATATTCCACAGGTTAATGTTACTGGTGTCAGGGCAAGGCGCAGGCAGACATGTGCGCCGGCCATTCCGGAAGGCACCTCCCGTAAGCTCCCCATTCAGGACTGGGAGAGAGAGAATCATAGTGAAAGATTCTTCGCCTTTCTGATTTCATATGATCAGACAGGAAAATAGCTCTTTCAAACAATTCTGATTGGGATCCATTTCCTTTCATTATACTATCTCAAGAATAAATGGACTTATTTCTGTACAAGGTTGCCAACAAATGCACAAAACATAGGTTTTAAACATAAGGTATTGAATATATTCCAATATTATTCAAGAAAAGACAAATCAAATAAAATATATATTTAATAAGAAGGATTCAAACTTTGAATATGAATGAGAGGCAAACTTTCCCACTGAGCCACATACCTAACAGATTTTGCAACCATTTATCTCAACAGATAAAATAAAATTTATGGAACGATCAGCTGAAAAAAGAACCATTAGTGAGGGGGAGAGGGAAATGCTGTAATTTGGCATGTAGACAGAACAACCTGGAATTTCAAATGATGCATACTTTGCCGAGAAACACTGTCTGCTACACTGGTGTTGTCTTCAGAAATGTTATCACTCACGTCACTGATGTAAGACTCATCATCTGATGCCTGAGGAGGGGAAGAACACAGAAGGAATCAGAGTTCTTATGATTCTTGTCTTGAAAGCTCAGATAAACAAATGATTAAAATTAACAAAATACTGCTCAAGTGAGAAGCAGCAGTGATAGTGGTAAATGTTTTTGGTACATGTGCAATGAATACTTGAGGGTCTTCCTGACTTGAGAGTCAGGATACAGGATGCCAGAAAGAAGCCTTGTGTTTATGTAGCACCTTGTACTACTTATAGTGGGAGGGGGAGAAGACCAGTACACAACCAGAAATATTTTAGGAGAATGTAGTAAGAATGTACATAAAAGAAGACCTATGACTCCACCTAGAGGACTCAGGAGAGGCTGTCCAGAGAAAGGCGTACCTGAATTGTGTGTTTAGGAGTGAAAAGGAATTGCCCAGTCCTGACAAGGGGAGAAGCATAGAAAGAAGGGAGAGTGTACAAAGGTAAGGACCATGAGAGAAACATCCATCCTAGGAATGCTAGGAAGTTGAGAGTAACATGATAAAAGGTGGGAAGGACAAGAAGAGGGCATGACAGTGATGAGCTTTTCATACCAACATAAAGGGTTCACATATAATACCACAGGTTATTAAACAACAGCAAAAATGCTAGAGAATGCTAGATTCAGATTTAGTTCTCAGGAAGACATTTGGAGGATTTTCTTAGGAGGGCTAGGTGATTAGATACTGCACAGACCCTGGTAAGAAACACTGACAGCCTAGAACCAGATAGATGCAGTGAGGATGCAGAGAACAAGAATTAAGTCCCTCGCCATATATCTGAAGGAATGTAGGTCCGCATATTATAGAGATACCTCACATCCACGCTTATACCATCAATAGTCACAATAGCCAAGTTACGGAGTCAGCCTAGATGCCCACTGACTGGTGAATGGATAAAGAAAATGTGATATGTATATATGATATGTATCATGCATATGTAATATTATATAGTTGGATAGATATCTATACACAATATTACATATACACACAATGGAGCATTATTCATCCATAAGGAACAAAATTATTCCATTTGCAGGCAAATGGATAGAACTGGGTATTATCATGTTACGCAAAATAAGCCACACTCAGAAAGACGATTATCACATGTGTTCTCTCATTTGTGGAATCTGGTCCTAAAACATGACATGAATGTAGAGGGTAAATTCTTGGGAGGAGCCAGTAGGACCAGGGAGGACAAAAGGAGAGGGTGAAAGGGCAATGAATATGATCAAAGCACTTTATTCACATGTATGAAAACAGAGTACAAACCCATTATAAATTGTAAAAAAACAAGGGGGAAGATTAAGAACGAGTAATAGAGAGGATGACTTTGATCAAAATATACTATATGCCTGCACGGAAATTTTGCAATGAAACACCTATATGCAATTAATATATGTGAATAAAAAAGAATTAAGCACTCTATGTGAAAAACATGGAACTAAAATGAAAACAAAATTAGCATAAAAATAAAATTAAGAAACAATGTACCCACTAAGAGCAAATAAAAAGGAGGTCAGCTTCCACACTGTTTAATAGTGTTCTGAATACATTTCCATTATATTGGATATAGTTCTTCATCTTTATTTGGAAAGGCATATTCCACTATACATTTATAATGTAAGGAAATTTAACCAGCATTTAGGTGGTTTCCAGTTTTTTACCATTATAGGCAATAGTTGGAGAGACATCTTTGTAAATATATTTTTGTGAATCTGCCTGGAGATTTTGTTAAAATTTATTCTGAGATCAAATGGGTCACTTATTGACTTCAGTCATATATTCCCAAACTGCTCTCCTGAAAAAATTGTATTAACTTGTTCTTGCCAGTAGTACATGGAAACATCTATCTACATCTACTTAAATATTATACTTAATCTTTTTTTAATGTATACCTACTATACATACAAATCTCCTAAACATTTGACTTTCATCTTTTGTGAATTTGTTTTCTTATCTTTCACACAATTTTCTGTTGTCATATATATTGTATTTTTTCCTATCTCACAATTTATTTTTCAAGTTTGTTTGTACCAGAGTGTTTTTTCAATTTAAGTTTTAAATTTGTATGTAATAAAAACAAGTAGTCTTTACCTTTAAGATTTTTGGATTTATTCCTAATGTTTTAAATTCAGGATCAAAAAGAATTCATCTATTTAGAGTAGAGTGGTGTACTGGCAGAATGACTACATGCATGGACAATTAATGGGAGTTTTGCTTTAGTGCACAGAGTGAGTCTATAAAAGTGGAAAATTGAGAATAATTTTTTTTCTGATTCATATTCCCCCCTACACCTGGTTCCCATGCTTCACATAGACTGCAACAGATCTGAAAGATAAACCACCAGGCTCAGAAATGCTAACTTCTTTAGCTTGATAGAGAAAAAAAAAAGATAAATCAAATTGTTCTACTCAATTTCTCTGAAAATAGCTAATCACAATTATATCTGAGGAGACAACTGCCTACTTCAATCGAATTCATATTGCATGCATGTATATTGTTTGAATATTTGTTATGAAAAAAACTTACATTTATCCCACAAAAACCAGTAAGTCTACTCCTCTTCAATTTTTGCTATCTCCCAAACTAATATATCATAGAAATGACCCAATATCAATATTGTTAAAGAGTTCTGCAATGACAGTGGGCCCAAGTAAGACCTGTGCATATTATCTGTGTTGTGTACTAACTGAGTCTGGGTTATCTTGCTGTGGTCCTGTACATAGACCAAGGCTCTGCTGTAGCATACGTTTTTTTTTTTTTTTTCTCCCCATGGTCAAGAAATCCTGGAGCCAAACACTCAGTATATAGAGTTCAGGAAGTATTTTTTTTCTAAGTGGCATGCAAGTTTAAGAGTAGAGACAAGGCAGGTAGATCATTCTGGAAATAATAAGACCATTTTTAAAAGAAGCTGAGGGTTCTTTTAAGTAAAGTACATTGCTGGACACCACACAAGTAGGGTTTTTCCCTAGTCATAAAAAATGTTAATGTAAGACAGCTACAGGTACTTTTCAGAATAATCATGTTTTACTGTGCTAGACACTCTCCTTCCTTTGTTCAATTAGCAAATATTTACTGAATTCCTGCTCTGAGTTCACCAGACTGTTTTATTGCTGGAGAAACAGTGGTGAAGACTCTGCCTTCACAGAACTTACACTGTAGTGGGGGGAGACATAAAACAAACAAGTGAAATGTATGAAATATATATTATTAAGAAATACAGCTTGTGATTACATATTGTGTAAATTCAGGACATAAGGAATGGCAAAGCAGTTTAGCTATTTCCAGTGTGGGTTATAAGAGAGACTCATTTTCCTTGACACAAAGTGTCTTCAGTGGATGAACAACTCCAGGAACCACTGGAAGGCTCAAGAATAACAGAGTAATGTAAGGTTGCACCTGAGAGCAGGGATTAGATTATAAGGGTCTTTGTGTGATAGCTAAGTAGTTAGACTGTTATCCTAAGAATACTGGGGAATAGAGAAACAACCAGATTTACCTTTTAGGACTATTAATCAGGTTATTTGGTAGAAAATGGATAGGGGAGGATAAGAAAAGTGGCAGGAAAACCACTTATGGGACTGATCCAGTAATTTAGGTACAGAGAAGATGGGGGATTACTGGATTGTAGTAGTGGCAGTGCACTGCAGGAAGATTATGGATATGTGAATATTGGAATAGTAGAAATTGCAAGATCTGATGAGTGGATTGATATGGGTGTTAGTAAGAAAAAAGCAGCGAGGAAAACACCCAAGAATCTGATGTGCACACTTGGGTAGAAGAGCCTAAGAATAAATTAGGGGCATGGATGGGGTGTTTTTATTTCTTGGAGGTGGTTGGTGCTTGATGGGTTTTTTTGGACATGATGAATTAGACATACTGTTAGTACCAAAGTAGCAATATTTAGCAGGTAACTGGTTATGTAGATTCCGAGTTGACTCTCTCTCTCCAGATGTACTCTGTCCTTGAGTTTTAGACTTGATTAACCAAGTGCCTAACATCCCTGAGAGGTCTGATAAACTCATGATTGCTCAAAGTGAACATATTATCTTCATGTTTCATTCTACTTTCTCATTCCTCCCTCTGCCACTAGATTCATTCTTCCCCCTGGAGATGGCACACTATCTTGCTTGCACTAATACAATAATCTGCTCTACATCTTCTTCATTTGTGTATCCATAGTGTCTACAGAAAGTGATACCTGGATACCCAGGTGATATGTACCAAGAACTTAGAAATAGGGAAATAAGGGTGTTCTCAGAGAAAGCCTATAAAGATATTCAGGTGATGGGTCAGAGCTTAGATAATATGCAGCCAAGGTTGACTGTAACATAGTTGAAGAAGGATAGAGAACTGTATACCAATGGGGGCTCAGGAAAGTCAAAATTTAAAAAAATCTGCTACTAGGGAGGCTGAGGCAGGAGGATATTAAGTTTGGGGACAGCCTGGGTCACATAATGAGACTCTGTGTCAAAAGCAAATTCTGCTAGCGTGTCTCCAGCATGGTAGTCATTGGGAGTGAGGACAGAAGTACCTGTCCAGGTGGTAAAGTATCTCTATAAAGGGGAGGGAGCATAGAACTAAAACATCCTGACTCTCTCAGCCTGAACTAACTCACTTCTGCTCCCATTCACTGCTCACCAAGCAACCTCCAGACTACAATTAGGTATGCCATGTAGATTTGCCTACAGAGAAAGAGGCACTAATATCCAGCATGATTATTCTGCACATTGGATAATATGAATTACCATTACAATAATTAAACTAGCCCTCTGGCTTATAAATGTAATTTCTGCGAACTTGTCAATGCATGCCTGGGATCTGAGAGGCAGGTGCATGCCTTGGTATGGGAACAAATTCAGCACCTGCTGCAAGGATTCTATTTTACATTTCTCCCATTAAAAAAGTGATGTGTGTTCTTTTCTTTTTCTATTTTCCATGTTATTTTTGTTCCAAAAGTCACTCATAATTGCAAACATCTAAAAACAAGTACTACTAATTGTCAGACTGTTTCCTCCCCATCTATTTTCTACACATATAATAACAACATTTAGCAACTAATTCATTTTTTAAATAAAAATACAGTGCATATTTGCAATCCTAAATGACAAAATTTCTAACTGGTTATGTGGGAGTTTTGGTTCCTTCTTCTATGCAAAAAATCAAGGCAACAAGAAAACAAAACAAATGAATCAAAGCATAGCTGAGTAAATTTTAGTAGTAGAACTAATTTCTACAACTTTATCTCTACTTTACATGATCTTGCCAAGCTCATGAAAATGAACAGTAACCCAATGTAGTAGCCAATGGTTAACCTCCAAAAACCATAATTTTCCAACTAGATACATACAAGCTATTGTCCTAAGCACAGACTCGAATCACTACCAAGATACATGATATGTATGTGTCTGCCTATATGTATGAAATGGTGATTTTCTATTTCTCCCGTTTTCTACATTTATTGCCCAGTCCGCCCCCTAAAAAGAACTCTGCTGTCAACTATTTGGTTACTCTGAAATTTGAACTGCAGAACAAAGTCAGAACATATGTTTGATTCTTTCCCTTTATTCATCAAATTTAAGAGTAGTAAGTTGAAGCCTAGAAGTGTTGTCAAGTGTTCAGTAAATGGGAACTCAGATGGTTTTCATGCTTTTGGCTCTGCTACAATTTGTGTATCTTATTATCACACAAACAAACACAACAACCCGAAGTTCCATAGTCTTCTTTTTTTTAAACCCTAACTTCTAGTCCCCAGCCTGTTCAGGAATCTTACCTCATTCTCTGATGAACTTGCAGACAGAAGCACCTCTTGGGCATCAAAGAACTCAGACACAGACTCTGACATGGAGAGGCGGCTCTCATTGGCTACTTGTTGTGACAAGGGAAGGCTGACATGGATTTGGTCACCATCCTACAGAAAAGAGAAGTAGATGGTTTAATTGTGTGGTCCCCCCTCCTTGCCCACCACCCCTGGTTAGAATAACCATTTCCTCAAACTGGATTTCTAGAGAAATTCACATTCACATCTTAAAAGACTGGTTATAAGTCATTTTCAGCTGCTACTATATAAGATTCCTTCTATGTCTAAAGGACTCCAAAACGCAGAGTTGAAAGATGTTGGTACTATGACTTGATTTTAAATCTATGCTCAATCGATAGTAAATGAAGTTTAACAGGTGAAGTCTCTCTGTTAATAATCTGAATTGACTGTATAGACAAGTTCATTCTCTTATGCCTAGGCTTGTCATTTCTAGTTATATTCTAACCAGTATACTATACTTCAAGAAGTATTCATAAAACAAAACAAAAAAGTATTCATAGACATTACTAGAGACATGTTAAGAAAATGATGTCTAAGAGCAATTTTTGAGACTGAGTATACAAAAGTCAATTTCCAATTACATCGCGACTTTTAAATACTGATACATGACTATGTTATTAAACCTTATTTCAAATAAAAATTGTGTTTTTATTCACTAAGTGATAAATAATTGTTTTTAAGGAATTACATATCAAGAATTACATTCTAATCACAAAATACACAAGAATATGTAACATACCCAATTTAAGATTATTAAATAAGTTCCAAATGATAAATTTTAAAAATACTTTTAGATTATGGGCAGTTAACTGAATATAAATGTCATTGGAGATCAAGTGATCCCCGGAGGTGAATGGAGACAGGGTGGACAATTTAACTCAGAGATAAGCCGCCTTGTAGCAGTATTTCCTAAGCTGCTCAATGGTAGAACTCTCACAGGCATCACTGTGTATAAAGTTCTAATAGTACTGTTAAAAAGTATAAGTTCTCATGGTCACAAAATAATAACTTCACAAAGGGTTAGGAACAGAATTACATGCTTAAGTTTAGCCCAAATGCTGACTATTCTATTTTCCTACCATTTCTTCAACCTGAAAAGTGGAATAATCAGCACCCAACTTAGAGAGCTGGAAGTACCAAATGCAAAGCATTTAGCACCTCAACGCAGTAAGCATTCACTTGATACCTATGAGCTATTAATTAGTTTTATCATCATCAATAGGAGCTGTAGCAGCACAATTAGTATTGTCTTAGCAAGATTAGGTGAGTTTTCTTCTTAGATAGCTCTTTCCAAACCTACTTTAAGAAAATTTTTATGCAGCAATTTCTCAGCTAAATTTTTTCATGTCATTGGCCATTTAATGATAATGAACATTTTAAATGAAGAATGGAGTCACACATAGAAAATTAATAACCTGGAGTAAATATATAAATTATGCCAGGCACCAGTGGTTACACCTGTAAATCTAGCTACTTGGGAGGCTGAGATTGGGAGGATTAAGTTTCAAGGTCAGCCCAGGCAAACAGTTCATGAGACCACATCTCCAAAACAGCCAGAACGAAATGGATGGAGGTTGCTCAAGAGGTAGAGCACATACTTTGCAAGCAGGAAGCCCTGAGTTCCAAACCCCAGTCCCACCAAAAAAAATTTAAATATTTAGTGGCAGCAGGTGAATAGAGGAATAAATAAAATAGAAAATAATCACCAAGAATAAATGATGTCAAACTCATATACGTTTTTACTCCAAAGAACACTGAGCTGTCAGTAACACAAATGTTTATGGAAGGGATTTTATTACAGTGAAAGAACTATATAAAAATACACAAAAATGCACTAAATTTAGATGCTATAAAATAGGTAGTCTACATCCATTAAAATGAGTCTTACCTCATCTGGGCTAGGAATAATATTTACACTGACAACCTGATCACAAATAATAGACTCTGAATGTATTCTGTTCAGTCGGCTCCTTAGTTCAGCATTCTGGTTGAGTGCCTTAAAATAACAAAAATTCAAGCTGTAACTGCAAATTAACAAGCAAACAACAGACAGAATACTACACAGGTACAACTGAGACAACAAAGTCTGAGATACTGTTAGCTCTAAGTTTTAGAATCATTGTGAGCTATATCCTATCAGAAAGTAGGAAACAAATGGCTTAGAATTAAAGTATTAATTTTTTGCAATGTAAGATATTACTTAGTAGGTTAGTGAGCTGAACGAATTAATGGGCTTCATAAAAATGACACATGGAATTTTCTCTCCTTTTGAGTCAGGCCCATTCCATACAAGCCCAATCTACCACCACATATGTATTACCTTTTGCAGCTTGGGATGAAAACTACTGATTTTTTTGTTTTGTTTTTCTAAAGTTTGGGAGTCATTTCAAAGCCAGGTAGTTATCTTAAAAATTACTTGGAAATGGAATAAATAATGAACTTTCTTTAGTACATAGAATTGTATTTTAGTTTGGTTAAAGAAAAGAAAGAGCTTTATTTGTATTTTCTAGGAATACATAATACACATGACAGTGGAGCAGAACTAACTTGAGTGTAGACCAAAAGATGCCTTCACCAAATAGTGTAAACATTGACAACCATAATAAAGAACGTAACACCAATAGTAAGCCAGCTCAAAGTTAGCTACACCATGCTACTTTCCACACAGCATACATTAGTGTCAGTAAAACACCACTAACTGCACTTATTACAAGAATTGAACAGGTTTACGTAAGTATGACCTCCCTACAGAGCCCCAGCAGACAAAAGCACAGTGAGCCCTCTAGGGATGCACAGCACATTAATGTATAAGAATATGTTCCATTTCCACCCTCCTTGCCTCCCTCTCTTCCTTCTTTTTTTTTTTTGAGATAGGGTCTCAATGTGTAGCCCACAGTGAGCCTCAAACTCACTGTGAAGCAGAAACATTCTTGACTTTTCCCCTTGCAGTGCTAGGGACTGAACCCAGAGCCTTGCACATATTAGGCAAGTGCTCTATCACTGAACTACATCCTCAGCCCAAAATGTCCATTTCTGATGCAGATGTAGCTTGAGGCTTGATGTAATTCCACCGAGCTTAGGTTGTGCAGCAACTGCATTTACTTATAAGAACTGTACAATGTAATACCATAATAATAACTGTTCCTATTAAAACAGTCAGGGTAAACACAAAGAGCAAAACTACCCTTGTACTAAGCAGGGAATACTCCTTGAACATGCAGCAAAAACTGCTTTCCTCTCTCTAGCCTGGTGCCTACCGTTTCCTTCCCTTCAACTCAGGTTTTGCTTTTTGAGGATGGTAATGTTCACCTGCAGCTTTTGGCTTTTGTTTAAAGTCTTTCGAATCAGTTTGTAAAACATGTCAAACACCACATGTTCTGGTGTGTCAGGTATTGATGGATTAAAGGTGGATATGGATCCAACAGTCATTATGTTTGGGGATAAGAGGAACTATGTCCCTGGTTATCTGGGAAACCAGGGATGTTTCAGAAAAAAAGTGATTGGGTTCTTAGTAAAAAACCATGTGGCTCAAAGGAAGACTCCTAGTATCTATTCATTCTGCACAAGTGCTAAGGAACATTTTTCTTGGAGTAAAATCTTAAATACTCAGAATTTGGGAAAAACAAAACTATGTTAATCTTATTCTTTGTGACTACTATAGACATGCTTGTTTGTTCTTTCATTATTATTATTTTTTGCCCATAAGTATGCTAAATTATCTTAAGTCGTTGGAATATTTAGAACCTGGCTTGCCTATTTTTCCACTGTGTAAGTGGAAGGCCTCATGGTAAATTGATGGGTTTAATGGCAGAATCACAGACTTGACCTGAGGTTTTTATAAAAACCTTAACTAATGGTTCTACCAAAGTGACCACATCTTCTGTGGTCTGGAGCAATCTTAATGAAACAACCCACAAAATCTCAAGGGCAAGAGTAAGTAATGCTGTTTTTCAAGGTGGAAATTTTAAAAACCGGTTTTCCACTTATAATGAAAGTCGTAAAATTGTTTGCTCTGGATATTTAAAAACATTAAATTCTCATTTAAGCTTTCACCTTATCCAGTGAATATGATCCTGCCTACAGGTATGTGTGAAGAGCAAACAAGATAGCTTCTAACCATTAATATAAATAGGAAATGAAATAAACATTTTTTAAATCTGAAAATTACTGTTCCTTTTTCTTGAATGTAGTGTTAAAATAAAAAATCCTGGCCTGGGAGTCAAAAGATGAGGTTTTCTTGATTTCAAGTCTAAGAAGTCGTGATCAAGATACCTAGCCCTTGCCAGGCCAAAATTTATTTCCTCCCTCTCTTCCACTCTCTCTCCTTCCCATTTTGAGATGGTCAGCTCCTAGGCTGGCTTAGAACTCAATCCATCTGCAACAACCTGGGATTACAGACATATGCCGTGGTGTACAGCCACGTGTCTCAATTTCTTTAGGTTAAAAAATAAGGCAGTTGTACTGATAACCTTAAAGTCCATTTCAATTTTTTAAATTTTGTTTTTGAATTCACATGCTAATAATATGAGGGGATTTATTGTGGTAATTCTATATATGTGTACAGTGTACTCTGAACAAGTTCATCCCTCCATTATATTTCCATTTTTCCTCTCTCCTCCCCCACCCTTTTCAAACAGTGTTTGGTGGGTTTCATTATGCTGTCTTCATACTTATTTATGAAGAATTTATATATGAAAATATTTACATATTTATATAAAAAACATACTTCACCCATCAACATCCTTTCCTTCTTCCTGTCTCAAACTTAATAGAAATGCCATCAGAATCTTGAATAGTGTGTCCTGGTTATCACTATGATGAACAACTACATCCAAGGATAATGCAAAAATAATTCAGGTTTTGGGGATTTTCTGGTGCTTATAATATGGTTAGCAGGAGTTTTCTGTAGTTCCAGGGTCTGGTATTGGGCTTTCTAATAGGAAAATAATAAAGATATATGACATTATATGTAAAGTTTATTTTGACATTCACTGGGATGGTCTAGAGAAAGATTTTTGTTACCTATGTCCTTAACTAATTCTTTTGTTGTTGAAACCTTTTTCCTCTCCTCAGCTGGGTAACAAACGGGTAGGAGGGAGGGTAAAAGAAATAAATCTTGGTTAAAGTATTGTTATACAGATGAAGAATAATAGGACTTTTTATTGTTTAATTATTTTTACATTTTAATTTTTTTTAAACTTGAAAAGTAATTTTTAAAAATTATTGATAATCCTTAAAAGCATATGTCATAGTTTAACACTATTATTGTCAAAATATTAATATTTTTCCCAAAAAAGGCTTAGTTCTATTTTTTAAGTATATGACAATGCAGTTTGCTAGTTCTTATTTTACTAATTTTCAGAGTTGCAACAAATGTAGAAGACTTAATCCTGCTACTATTTCAAACAGATGTTACACATGGAGTTCAACATTAAACATTTAAAAGGAATAATCTTATGATAATATATATGCAGTGGTAGGAAAAAGATGTTATTACATGGCACAAAAATGCATGGAAATAAACAACTCCAACTCTGGCAACCTCAGTGGTAGGAAGTGTAAGCAATGGCTGAGCATGCAACAGCTCATTTCTGCACATCTTCTGTGGCTGGCTCCTCCTTTTTCCTTGATCATACATACTGTTTTTGAAGTATGTTATAGCCCAGTGCCATGAGTTTTGTGGTATAGCATTCTCCAGTAGTAGTGCTCAGGATCACATTTAGTATTTCCCTTCCTGGAACTCAACAATTTTCTCCTTTAAGATATCATGGAGATTAGGGAACACTGAAGAATCCAGGCATGATAAGGGAAATGACACGGTTAGTGATAATTAACATGAAAGAGGCCAGAAGATGCCAGAAACAACGTAAGGAATATCCCCAAGGAAAGTGAACAGTGGCAAAGCAGGGGAAAAGGAGGCAGTTCAACAGCTACTGGTGCCAGCCAATGAGCAAGAAAAGCTACCAAGACCTGTCAATAACCGCATTGCTCTTTTGTGGCATATGAGACCAAAGTCTAACTAGGAGAAAGTACTGTAGCTAGGAACTGTGTCTATAGTCTTCATAAGCAGGTTTCATATATAATCTCATTACTTAATGAACTTGGACTTCACTAAAAACTCTTCAAAGTATGCTCATTCCCCATGCCTTGTCCCCTCACATACACATCTGAGTCTAAAACATCCAAGAAACATCCAATTCCTTCTCAAGCTATAAAAGAGACTACTATTTCAAAGATCTGGGCCAAAATCAATTACCTAAATCCCTACTTCTTTACCTATTAACCCTGGTAAGCACTGGGTAAGAATTTACCTTAGACTGGATAGGACACTGGCATAAGTATTTTAATAATTGGAAATATGGGTTCTGGTAAAGAAACATGGCTACCTCACAGCTGGAGAAGGATTTGAAACACATGGCAAGACTGAATCATCATAAAAGCAAACCCTTTAGATAACAGTAAAGCTAGTTCAAAAGAAGTGAGAAAATTAATATAGAAAATGTCAAAACTGGAAAAAATTCTGAGCATCTCTTAATGATCACCTTGATTTTTCAATTAACTATTATATTTAGAAAATGAAAAAAGTAGAAAAATACTTTAAAAAATTAATACTTTACTATACAATTATATATATTGTTTGGGGCCTATTTCTTTCTAGCTTATTTTCCTAAGTATTTTTTCATACTGCTTACTGGGTATATAGCTTACACCCAATAGCTACCCTTTAATCTTTGTATATAAGCTTTTATGTCAAAAACTCTTCATAAATATGATTCTGATAGTTGCATATTAAGCAATGACTTCCTATTATTGGCAACTTGTGTGGTAACTGATTTGTACAAGAATAAATAATGCTGCCATGAACACTTGTGTGCATAATTGTTTTCTATATTCAGCATTACTTCCTTAGACTAGTTTTACTAGTGTGGACCTTCAGGACAATGGGTAAAAACTTGATAAATCTTTTTTGATATTGCCAAATTACGTCAATGATGACAACAACTTAAACTTGGTAGATGGCTAAGAAAAGATGTGAAGGATTCTATGAAGAATATCTTTATAGACAACAAATTTGACGTAGAGAACTATGGAGTTCAGAAACAAATGAATGCACTTGGAACTTTTATCTCATCAAAGACTATTTTGGGTATGTGGAGTGTTATGGGCAAGAAGGATGACAGATACTACAATTGGGGTTTTAAATTATGCTACAGTATGTCTTAAACCATTTTTGCTAAAATAAGCATACATACCATGTTTCACCAGTTAATTACTGTTACTCTGGCAGTAATTTTTTTCTTCCTCATTAATGCACAAAATAATGATGTATCTAACAACTGGTGGCATGTTGATTTAATGAAATACAGTAGTTCTAGCTGGAGGTGATGGGTCACATTCTGGTTGTTCACATTTATAAAGATTCAATTTGTACTATATTCAGCATGAGCACAAATTTAGGGGCCAAAAATCAAACTAGTAACAGTGGACAGAGCATAATATACTGAAAATAGACTCAAGGAAACCTGAATCTTTCATTATGGTAATAGGGAGTGCCAAGATACCTTGGCCTTATTCTATGGCACTGAATTTTTCGTGTTCAGGGTATACATAAAACAGGACATGAAATTATAGCTGATATGAAATAAGGTCATCATATAGAATGTCCTGTTCTATAAACTTAAGGCCAATATTTAGGTTTTCTCAGGTATGAGAGTTAATGTAAGTCTCATGGGGTAAAAATAACAGAATTATGTTGTGTTTGTATACATATAGATCAGGGAAATACTACTTTAGAAGAGGAATTCATTTGACTACCTAGCCTTTCAAGCTGTTACTCTCTCAAGGCAGGTAACAATTTATGCTGAGCAGATAGAGAAGAATGCTAATTTTGTGTATTTTACATGCTATATGCCTGCAAAAAGAATGATGGAATTTTCTAAGTTGATATATTACTTAGAAGCCACATTGAAAAGTGGCATTTTAATCATCATATAAATCAAATAGGACTATACCAAACAAAATATAAGTTTTTAAAATGTTAGATTATTTAAGTTATTTAAAAACCATCTCTCTCCTTTCTTTCCTCTCTAGAGAGAGCTGGTCATGAGGATGATATCTGGGGGCCTTAAGGTACCTAAAGGTGTCTTTAAGTTACCTAAAACCACACTATAATGTGAAGTTGGACTAATATGAACATATACTCAGAGCACTGAGAACAACTGTCTCAGTGTTATTCCAACTACTTAGTACTTGTTCCATCTTAAGTGCTGTATTAAAGCAAGGTTGGCCAACCAGGATAGCTACATCAGTTAATTGTTTCCCACCTCCAGTATCTCCTTATCTGCTAGCTCCTTTTCTGATGATGTAAACATGCTGAGATGATTGCCAAGTTCAAGGTTGACATTCCAACCATAGATTAGTTGCTACTAAATTGGATGCTGTTAAACCTTTTCTTCCCTGAGACCATCATTTAATATCAATGGTCATCAATCCCAAATTCTTTGACTACTTCCTCTGGGTCTCCATCAAAGGATCCTCTTTCTTAGCATATTTAAAAAATATTAATGTTCTTTATAATAGCACCAGCATCACAGAACTTTTATTGTATGTGAAAACACAATTTACCAACATCTATAACTCCACTGAGATCCTGCAGTTGCCACATCTTTCTGTCTCCTGAGCTCTACATCTTTAGGTCCAATTGGCTGCTGAATGTCCCATAGACACCTCAATCTCTGTAAAATCATTCATCATAAACCAAATGACAAACCAAATGAATGAGCAAATTAATATTTGTTTTTAAAATCTTTTCCTAGTCATTTCTAGTTTTACCTGAAGCCCAAATCTAGATCTCCAGACCATTCTTAGTTTTACTATGAAGCAAATAAAAGCAAGCAAGGGGCAAGCGAGAGGCATCACTAAGCTTCTATTATTAAATACACTTTAAGGAAACACTGCAACATTTAAGGGGCTAAAAGTATATTTTATGTGTTTATAAGATGATATTTACATGGTTATTTGACTATTATTTTGTTCTTTCTGATTCATGATATTTTCAGAATAATGATTAGGAAGATCAATTGATGTCAACTGAGAGTTCAGTGGATACACAAAATGAGAAGCGTCCAGGAAGAACGTGTGAAGAGTTCTTAGGAACAAAGCCCTCTGCAAGCCGGCAGATACTGTGGTTATGCCTATGCTCTTGAGGCTCCTGATTTAGCACTGCAAGCAGTGTATGCATCTCAGCTGACAGTGTTTCATGGTGAGTCAGGAAGTGTGGCCCAGATAGTGGCACTCCATAACATGAAACTTACCACTAAAAATACACTGACAGTTAAGGTACATAAAACACAGTGATACGGTTTACATCTAAGTTTTAGGAACGGAGGGAAACTACTCAAGCAGGATCTGATCCACATGGAAGACCACTTACCCAGGATTTGCTGGCTCCTTCACTCTGATCCAAGGCACCAGGAAGTGAACAATATTTTATATAAACACCAAGTTTGCACATAAAATCACATAACAATATCAAATTCTCAAAGGAATTAAAATAAGTGCATTCAAGGATTAATTGAAGAAAATATTTACTTCAGAGGAAGTGCTGAGTGCAGAAAGGCATAAACATAAGCATAGTTTTAAAGGATATGTATCAGAAACCTTGACTTTGAGCTACATAGGGATTCGATTAGCATCTGATTAGTAAGATCAACTATATGATACATATTAAAATACAAATTCTAGCTTCAGGGAGCATTAACTTAGATAGGAAGGAAATCCCATGAGTTCAAATCAGAAGAGAAATGGAGTTACAGTAATTAGTAATTTCCAACAGATTGAAATTTAAGTGGAAAGGCTATTATGTGTGGAAGATCTAGCAGATTTTCTTATATTTACCATTGGATCGAATACATTCTGGAACATACGTTGTTAGCCATCTAACAACGTATGTATGTAAATCACATACAAATACCTGGCTACCTTATAAATGATTAAAGACATTAAGTATTCAAGTAGCCAAAATAAAAACTAAATGTGTGCAAGCAAGTGTGGATAATTTTTACTCTTACCTTGACATTTCTGGGGAAGAAGATAGTAAAATTCAATAGTGACACTGCAGTGTCTCGGGAGAATTTCAGAGGAATATTCCATACCCAGGGCTGTTAGACCCCATCCCCATCTTTGCCTGTCATGCACGTGAAAACAAACACTCTCCTTTACCTGAGACAGTGACTGCCGGAGCCGGGCCATCTGCGTGCTATGGCCTTTATTGCGATCCTGCTCAGAAACCATCTGCTTCAGCTTTTCTTTCTCTATAGCGATGCTATTGAATGCAGATTTCAAAAGAGAGTGCACTGGATGGGAAGAAAAGGGAGAAACAAGTATTAAAAGTATCTAGAAAGAATATACAAAATGATAACTTATAAGGACATTAACTCATATCTAGACATTTTTCTGAAAAGGCTGTGCTATAGTCTAATTAAAAATCAGCCTATCAAAATTTTCACATTCAAAACAAATATGGAAATTATTATTGATATGGATGAAAAGTTTAGTATTTCATAGCAGGCAAGCCAACAATGGTTTGGAAGAAGCATACAAAATATCAGTGTCAATTCTAAACATCGATACTTAGGAATCAATTTCTAATCCCTAGGAGAAAAAAGAAATGTTTCACTTGTCATATTTGATGATAAAATTTTGAGCAGTTCTGCCTAGCCTAAAGTGTCATTGCAAATAATTTAGTTTTTTAAATTTAATTATTGATAAAATTATTTTCCTAGAGAGTATTATCTCCCCAGCACCACCCCGGCCAGGACAATTTTATGAATCCTATCAGCATAAAACAGGCAGCTAATCTAAAAGCGCTGACTAGCTCACTTGAAGGTAGGAAATGACTTGGCCTTAAGACCATCACTTGTACTGCTTTTCAGCCAGAAACGTCTTAGTGTCAAAAGTGCTTCAGTTTAAAAGCAACAATAAGAATAACACCTCTCTCTCCATTTCCTCCATATCTAACAATTCATGTTGGTAAAAATCTGAGGCAGTCTTTCCCTTTGAACTTTGAAGGTTTTTTCAATTCTTATTTTATTGTATTTTTGGTGGTACTGTGATGTGAACTCAAGAGTCTCATGCTTGCTAGGTAGGTGCTCTACCACTTGAGCTATTCTGCCAGAATTTTTTTACATTGGGTATTTCCAAGATAGGGTCTCTTGAACTATTTGCCCCGCCTAGCTTTGAACTACAGTCCTCCTGATCTCTGAGTAGCTAGGATTACAGATATGAGCTACAGGCACCTAGATGGCCACTAGGTAGCGCCTAGCTATTCTTTTTACAGTAACAGAGTTTCTGTAACATGCAAAAATCTCTTAAAATAGTTATTTCCTTACTTGAAAAAGGTTATTTTTAAAAGTGAAAATTTTTAGCAAATCTACAAAATACAGTGGATTGAACTGAAAAGAGAAATGACCAGGTCCCAAAGGATTTATAATCCAATAATTTATGTACTACATTCTATCTGCAATTTAAAGATAATAAGTTGATAGAATGCATTAACCCTGTTGTAGTAACAAAAGCAGACTCCGCACTCATTTTAAAACTCAGAATGCTTTCCAAAGAGTTCACTCAACAGTCATGGAAAAGCCCTTCCCCTCCTTTTTTTGGTACTATAGAGGATGCGTATGTCTGTTTGAAAAGAAAACACATAATTTCAACAAAGGCTTTAAAACTCTGTTGAAACTTGGATTTCCTGAAAATCCAAGGACTGCAACCAAATACACAAAGTTTTCCTGAGGCTGCCTTCAAATTAATCCATCTCCCTTTAACAGCTGTGCTATGCTCATATACTCAACTCACACATTTGTTGTCTCATTCTATCTGCTGCCACCCATTCTAGGAATAAAAGTCACTGCCTGTGGATCAATGCTATCATACGAACAAAGTATTACTGCTCTAGTCTAATAACATGATTATCATCCAGTTATAATACAATGAAAATGCATTTGCTAGGAAGTAAAAGAGTTGGCATCTAAACTGAGAAATCTATAGGTAAAATTACTAACTGTTAAAGGGTTATTGAATTAAAGTGATATCTGATAATCCCTCAAATACCTGATACCTGAAATTTAAGGAGTATCAAAGTAAGAAGAGTTAATTTTGGAAGCCAAGGCTCTTGTTAAATATCACAGCATATCTTTGTTGATGGTTTGAGAATATAAATTTTTGTTGAGTTCGAAATTCCGAGAGACATCCTCAGCATTCATCCCTTCTTTTCCTGAGCTAACATCCTTTTGAGTATTTGTGGGAAATTCCATTCAAGACACATTTTCAAGAATATTTTAAACCTTATTACCAGCAGCCCTAGAGGAAATAAATGATTACTTTGCAAAAAGGTGTAAGTGACTGAAGACAACACGATGTGTGTATCTCTCAGGAGATTTAAAAAGACAACTTCTGAGAAGGTACAATCTTAAGTCAAAAGAACAACACCACCAGCTGGAAATTAAATACCACAGGAAGTAAGGTGCCTGTTAATCTGGGACCCAAGACTTATTTGTTAAACAAAGATAGGCCTGCTCAGTCTACACACATCCTACTATAAAGCTTCTTATTTATTATACCTCACCTCTCTCTAGCTCAAGACAACAATTAAACTCACACAACAAGCTTTACTGGAAATTTAACATAAAAAACAGACTCAAGGGTTTGGTTGATTTCCTATCACCTCAAATCTGAATTGGCCTATGACCTGTAGAATCTGACTTTGACCCGTAGAATTCACTCCAAGTGACAATGCGCCAGTTCTAGAGCTGGCCTTGAAGAGGCCACTCCACTTCCAAGTGTCTTGGAGCCCTACACTATCATGGGCAGAAAGAAAGGCATGTGGGCAGTCCTCCAGCAGTCCTGGCAATGTGCCAGGCACATAAAGGAAGCCACATTGGGTCTTTGAACCCAGCCTAGTCTCCAACTGAATTTCACTGACTGAACCTAGTCAATAAGACATGGTGCAAAAGGCAGCTCTCACCTGAGCTCTGCCTTAATTACTCACCAATCAATTGTAAAGTACAATAAATGAATGCTGTTTAAATCAGACAGAATCTAATTTTTCTTTACTAAGTATAATCAATAAATACGTATTAAAAGACAACTAGAAGACACAGAAAAAAAGATGGCGAATGGTAGTATCTTTTTGAACTTGCCTACGACAACCTTTTTGTCTGTCTTCCTCTCCTCATTCCTGATGGCACATTATCCAGTCCACACTGAAACCTGTGATGTGTGTTCTCCCAACAAGCAGGCACTCATGTCCTGCTGCATTTGGTGAACAGAATTCCAACCAACATATAAAACCATTTAATCTTTCTGCCATTATTACCTAGACAAAGATAAAAGAATAAATCTTTTATCAACAACTCTCTCATTGAAGATACCTTCTTTAAAGGGCACAGTATATCTGTTACCTTTCTGTGCAATTAGACAAAATTCTTCTTGCAGCTTTGTATAATCTGTTGAACTTTCCAGTGGGTCAGTGAGGTGGCTAGGGGGAGTCTGAAATTCAATATCTGCACAGAGATTGGGGTTGGAGGAATGCAGGCGAACTGGTGACATGGTGGCACTGAAGGGAACCTGAAAGGACATGATACAAATTAGTCAAGAACAATTGTGCCCGGTTCTACCTTCTCCCACACACAGAAAAGATCCCTCTTATGGTTTAAAATAATAGACTCCTCTCTGATGACACACTCGGAGACACTCAGTACTCATTTATTTTGCAGGTAGTTGGGCTGGGGAGAGGGAAATCAGCTCATTTCCCAGAGCTGATTTAGAACTGCCAGGACAGTGTTTCTTGGTTATAAAGAAAGATAACTGCACAATGACAGGAAAAAGGCATAATCTCAGATTAAACTTTACACCTGTACCTAAAAAGTAACTGGTAGAAAACTGCAGTGTGCACTGGGAGATAGCTAACCTTCTCTTACAAAATCAAAGTATAATTTATGCTCATTTCTCTCTGAGCCTAGAGCAGGATCTTACTAAATATGTAACTTCTGGAGAAGCACACAGAGAAAGATTCTCTTGCTCCATAACCATGAGGGGAAACAAAAATCAAGTTTAACAGAAAATATAATCATGACTTAAAGAGACTTACAGTTGGTTTTTGAAATAGATTTATTAAAATATATATTAGTAAGTGGAACATATTATGTAAATCACTATAGTTTACCTTTGCATGTCACATACAACTCTGTTATATATATGAACATGGCTTGTGAACTGGCCAGCAGTGAAAAACATCAAATAGAAAAAGTTGTATCACTATAGATTTTCCCAAATGGCTAGAGGTGCCTACTTATGAAGGCTAGCTCTGGACTAGGTTTGTGCTAGGTAAAGGCTAAACACCTTTACATTCCCTTCAAGAAGGTTGTACCTGCATACAAATGCTGTTGGGTATCCAATCTTTGGAAATGGAAACACCAAAGCCTCACAATAAAGTCTCTAATTTTCCTTAGGAAGCATGCTCTGGACTCCACCAAAGCTGAGATGTGCCTATCTGAAATGATAATGCCTGCTCCCTACATAACAGGAAACATGCTGGAGGGAGAAGGAACCAATATCTTGTCTGATGTGTGACTACATGTCAGAAACACTTCATTTTTAAATTTTTTGTTTTTTTGAATTATACTTCCTAGCAGACTTGGTGAGTGAGTTATGGCAGGGGAAAAAGTGTATACTTTCTCTGAGGAGATGAATGAGAAGGAGAGAACCAAAAATTCTGGCCTGAAGGCAATAAAAGGGCAGTTGGGACTAAGCTGAGAGCCCTTCTGATGTAGTTCTGTCCAGGCAGGGAGTTATTTCAAAAGATATCCAAGGCTTACTTACTGAAGAAGGAAGTGGGCATGAAGCTTTCTCCCTAAATTCAGCTAAGCCATGCATGTTAACATCTGTTCTCCAAAGCATTTGGTATCACCAGACCTCATCCTCTGTGGGGAACTGGGTTACACTGGGCTGAAGATGTCAACAGCTAGTTTATCTTAACAGGCTCAAACTTCTGCAGGTTCCAGATTTGAAATACAGAAGTGTCAAATAAACCATTCGTGAAAATAGAGTACTGGAATCCTATTTAGGTTACTTTTATGATAACAATGGCTGAGGTACTTCTGGGATACCTAGAAAGGAATGGGACTTATATGGAAGAATGTTTGAAGATAGACAAAAGAAATTTAACTGTGGTAATGCTAAATCTGGGAAGAGCAGTCAGTTCAGATCCCTGGGAGGGACACAGAATTTGTAGAAAGGTAGAAATGAGGTCATGGGGTGAGACTCTAAGATAAAGCATGGGTAGATCAGAGAGTTTTCAGATTTAAGGATATGGCTTCTTGATAAAAGGAAGTAGAGGAACATGAAGAGAAAGAAGCAGGGCACAGTGATATACAGCTATAATCCCAGCTGCTCTAGAGGTGGACAACAGGAGGACCGTGGCTCAAGGCCAGCCCAGCAAAAAGTTAGCAAGATCCTATCACAACAAATAAGCTGGGCAGTGGTGGTGTGCACCTGTGAGTCCAGCTACACAGGAAGTATAGGTAGGAGGATTGTGATCAGAGGCTCACTCTGAGCAAAACCATGAGATCCTATCTAAAAAATAACTAAAGCAGAAGGGCTGGAGGTGTGGCTCAAGTGACAAAACACATGCCTCGCAAACACAAGACTCTGAGTTCAAACCCCAGTACTGCCAAAATAAAAAGAAAGGAAAGGAAGAGAAAGGAAAGGTATATGAAAAGAAAGAAAAAGGAATATGGGTGTTTGGTGAGGAAGACATAATGTGCTTAGGATTATGGAAAAGGTTTTATGTGCCCCCAGGAGCCTTCAACACTCTAAGAACTCATCCACTCAGGAGTCTTTTCTGAGTAGGTGGGGAGGAACTCAGGAGAACTGAGGCAGTGGTTGCAATAGGGGCCATTATGTAGCAAAAACTCCAGACAGTTCAATGAGCACCTACACTTGTCCCTGAGATAATGGCCTCCCTATTAAATATTGGAGTCAGTTGCTAAGAAGAAATACGTAAGTTACAAATTTATATTTTGAACATAATGGAACTTTAAATTGGTTATTAAAACAGTAAAAGTGGCTTTATATATATCCTATAGGGGAAGAGACTCGAAATTCTCCATTCAAACAACAATCAGTTCCTTGGGAAATTGAAAACTAATTTTTATATTCGCCTGACTGAAAATGTTTACACTGATACCTTTTTTGTTGTTGTTGTTAAAAGAACTGGATTGAATGGGTCATTTTTAACTGAGGAATTCATGAAATGAAACTGTGAATACAAATTGGGATGTATTAATCTAATTAACTGAATATCTCTTAAGCCTGGAGACTTGTTTACTCAGTTTTTTATTCATCAATTTGGGTATTATAGGATTTAAATTTTTAAATGGTACCTAGCTTCTCTGTTAGTGATATTTGGAGTGGAAGCTGCCAACAGCTCTCTGTGTTTATACCTGAGAACCCTCAATGCTGGATTTGAGACTTTCTACTCTGCTTGGGAAAGAAATCCAAGACTTCCTTGAAGTCCTACGATTGAGAGGGAGCCTGATCCTGGAATATTATGTTACCAATAATGTCAGTTTGGAATGGGGATGTTGGGAGATTTTCTTAATACCTGTCGCTAAAAAAGTCAAAAAGAGAAGGGAATTGCCTATGGTTCTGCTGGTTCTGAAATTTAGAAACAGTAAAAGTGAAAGAAAGCATATACAGTGGGTCTCAAACAAATGCTAATCTTAAAGGACTTATTGAGTCAGTGTGAAAAATCCCTGCTCCTGCCGTTCTACGTTATGTGTGCAGGGATGCTTATGGAATACTGGTTACTTTGGGAACCTCAGTGTTCCTCTTGGGGAGATGCGTGTAGCTCCCTATTTCCCAACTCCTGTTCTGTGGTCTGGTGATGGTACGGGTTGGTCATTCTGAGTGATAGTGTTAAGGGTCAGCAAGAATAAATTTTGAAAACATCTCCTCAGTACATTTTTCTTTGGTGCAACTGCAGTTGGTCCAGACACCTGAGTTAGGTGAGGAAAACAAGATGAACAGAAATTATTTGGAAGTTCTAGGTAAAAGGCACCTATGAGGATAGGACAGGCTCAAAATGTGATGGGTAACTTCAGTGTTGGGAAGGAAAAGGACTGAGAATTAAGAGGAACCACTGCACTAGAAGAAATAGGGGGCTGAGTCAAGCAGTGTTAATACTTTGCTATGGAGTCAAAACTAGAGGGTTTAGAGTAGCCATTCCCCCTACTTATTCCTGAAAACATTATTAAATGGTACCAGTAGCTTTTCAAATTAGATGCATCTAAGTTATTTTTATAACTTCTGTGGTCACAGCTATGTTGGAATGTGGGCATTAATGTTTTCTTTTTTTAAAAGCTTTTTCTCTTTTCCCCTAATTAAAAAAATACAAACCCATTCTATTCAAATAGTTGCTAATCCTTGTTTTATTGTATTTGCTGTATGTATCTGCAATTTGAAAAATGAATATAGGAGAAATACAATCACTTCCCTGCATGTATCTCAGAAGCACATTATTTGAAGAAGCATTAGTATTTTCATAAAATGATATGCCCTTTCTATTCAGACTTGGAAGCTGTTCTTTCTCTAATGGGCATTTGTATTTCTTCATTTTATAAATAAAAATTAAAGATTTAACTGATTACACAGATGTCTATTTTCAGAATGTGCTGTCGCCTCAGTGTTCACCTGTATTTGAATACACACATCAGATATACACTCACCATGAAAGCAACTTCAGTAATTCATCTGTTCAAATGTTTACCAAAATTTAAGAGTCAGGTTGCTAATAATTCCCAAGTTTTTGGTTATTTTAATAGTCAAAAGCAATTCTGTTCTTGAATTCAAGAAAACACTTAGATATAAAGCCAGAATTAATTATTAGCCATAAAGTAGAAAGCCAATAATTCTTGCACCAGTAGATATTCTCCTATAATGCAACCAAAACTTTTTCATAAATTTTTTTTTTTTTAGCTATTCTAGTCTTGAAATAGATCCCACTTTCAATAAGACCAAGACTTGTTAATTCAGGAAATATGCAGTATACAAAAGACTGACAGTCACAATTGGTATGAACTCAGGAATCTGTACTTTAGAAAACTCACAGGATCTCATGATTAAGTAAATATTATGACTTGCTTTTATCTAGCAAACGATTCCTGTGTTCAGATACTCTATCTCATTTTCTGTATGGAATCCACTATTCTTGGCCTTATCTATCTCAATATAGCTCTATTTTCTTTATTTCTCATTTATTTCCATTAGGGAAAAACCTCTAGATATGAATTAAACACTATCTAACTCTGTTTTTTTTTCCATTTCCACACTGTATTTTCTGATTTTCATGTCAATATTCTTTCTAGAAAACAATTTTTCCTTGCTAAATGTAATTTGGGTAGCCATGTAGAGATGACATCAAAATTCACCTTTTCTTACCCTCTCATTTCTTTCTCACATCCTTTTCAAATAGTCACATTGCTACAAAAAAAAGCACAATTTATGTCTGTAGTAACATGACTTCTCTTAGAAAAACAGAAATCAGTTAGCAGAAATTCTAATATCAGTATGGCAAAAATAAACATCATCTAAGAAAATTTCCCCACCACAGGGCACTATACTCATATTTGTAAACTTGAGTTTCAATCGTTTCTTATACTGACGGAAGAAGTAACGAGTTGGATTATGTAATAGTTCTCTATTGCAAAGACAAATACCCGAGTTCAACTCCTGCCATGCAAACACAGCCAGAAAACATGCGAAAGCTATGCTGACATGAGTGGGCTAGAGTTGATACTCGTGTGTGAACACGAGTGGCACCATCAGAGCAGGGGGATTACCCTTGTACAGTTTCTCATTCTTATTAAATTTCCACTTGAGATTGAAATCCACTCACTGTTGTAGCCACTGCTGCTGCTAGCCTCTGCCGACGCCGAGTTGTGCTCAATTGGCCCTTCGCAGGTGGCCCTTCCTGACAGTGAATGGGAGAAGAGAAGGGGGTAAAAACATGGGATGGGAGAGAGAAAGGGTGGGATGTGGGAGGATGAAAGATAATCAGACAAGGGAGAGGGAGAATTTTTCATCTGAAGTTGACTTTTCTTCAAAAAAATTTAGTGTTTGTGCCAAGAGAAACGCTCATTATTCTCATTATGAATCACTCAAACACTGTAAGTCCATTTGCTGAGTATAAACTCTATCCCAAAAGGAGAGTTAGGAATTGATGAATGACTTATGATTCTAAGGCAAGATGTGCACACCACTTTTTTTCATGTGATGTCATGTTATATGAAGTCAAAGCCATTCAATAAATGGTAACAAAGAAAAAGTAAGTCCAGGAAAAACTGATCAAATAATATGCAAGGGCTAAAATGAGCAGGTTGTAATGAGACCCTACTGTGGGGCCAGGTAGAATTTTATTTTTTATTGGGTGATTAAAAAAAATGTAAGGAGAAAGGTTCCAGGATTCTTTAAGTCCCCACTTAAACTCCTACCAAAAAGTTTGCTGGCTGGGACTAAACATTAAAATTAGTGATAGAATCTTCAAGTTGAAGAATTTTCCAAGGAGGAAGCCAACCCCCAAAAGACAGGGAAATAAAACCCAAAGGTTCTTCAGCATATGAGGAAAATGCCAATAAAATCAGCTATGGAAAGCTGAAAGTATAGTTTTCATTTAGTGACATGCACTTATACATAAACCAGCAGTAGAATGTTAGAGCTTTCTTTCAGTTTTCCCTTTTTCTGGTGGATGGAATTAAGGAATATTCCTTCTACCCACCCAACACACCTGATGAGTCCTGAGTTGTCAACATTGTAAATAATAATTGCATTTCCCATTAACTGAGTTATACTTTCTTAGAATACCCTAACAGTTAAGATTGAAAGAACAGTACAACTGCTTTCATCTGTTTTGAATATCAGAAAAATATTTAAAATTCTTTTTATCTCCAATTCTCTTTAAAAATTTCCAAAATACATTTGTATTTTTCTTCCATTTTCATAAATTTTCTGCATATACATATGCATTTCAGACACACACACACACACACACACACACACACACACACACACATATATGTATCATCTGTTTTCCTTTTATATACAAAACCCTGTTATACTTAATGTACTAAACATAAGTCAAAAAATTTTTAGCCTTTGGTGTAATTTCTGGATGTGCAAAATTTAGGGTAGCTACTTGTGAATGATACAATTTATCTGCTACTAGGTGCTTCCTACTACTCCTCATCTCTCCAACATCTGGAGATACAGTATTCAATCCATGGTATTAATAACATAGGAAATCTAGCAGTTCTTTCTTCTACAACACACCTTTAAAATCATTACCTTCTTGCCCTCTTCTACTTTATTGAAAACACAGTCAAATGGTTACTGCATAATGATATTGAGATTTTTATCAGAACCAAAATACCCTTGTAGTTTGGGAGGCGGGAGGTCTATTTTCTAAAAGATAATCCCTACACAACTTTTGCAGACAAATGTTGACTTCATGGATTACACACTGGATTTATGAGGCAAATTCCCCAATTGCATCTAACAAATATGGCCATACAGGTCTAGACTTAGCCTTCATATTCAAATCCGGTGGATAATCTCACTTCCCAAGAATAAGCAACCAAGCATCCAGAATAACACATTTTTCATTTTCACTTTCCTCAGGTCAATTTTTTAAATTATCTATAATTATTTCAAAATGACAGTGACTATAGAATGTTGAATGAAAAGCTCAGTGACATGACACCAATAACAACAACAGCAGTAATCACCACCACCACCACCACCACCACACAATATAAGTTCCATCACAAGTGGCTTAATGATTTAAGCGATTCACACAACAGAGGGGATGGAAAAGGAGTTGTCACAGTTGGAGAGCCTCTCAAGCTGGCTGTAACAGTGATCATCAGGAAAGTCAGATGATACTGAACCAAAACAAATGCTTGGCATCAACAGATGGAATTCCCACAGTCAAAAAAGCATTTCAAGTAGGAAAAACTGGACATTACATTAGGGTATGGTAGGAGTATGTTAAATCCACAAGAGTGAAAATGAATGCTGTGTCTTTCTAGGCAAGATACTGTTGAGTGAAGATATCCATGTGGGCCACAACCACTGATAGATGAACTTGTGGTTCCCCAGCAGGTGTGGATGTAAGAAATTTCCTAGTCATTGAGAATGAGCATTTTGAGCAAGCAAAAAGGTCCAAGGATGGTACCAAAGTCCACAGCATTTCAGCCTATGGTATCTTTTGTTTAAGTGCAAGTGGAAGTGGACTTTTTCTAGGAGTTACTAATAGATTTCTGCCACCCAAAATTTATTTGTTTCTACTAAAGTTGAACTACACCTGTCCATTTTGAAAAGGCAAAGTTTTCTCTGAATATGGATGGCATTATTTTAATTCTGCTAAAAAATAGCTAAACAAGAATTACAAGAGTCACTTCTGTTATTCTTTGGCAAAATAAAAATGAAGCAAAATAGCATAAATAACAAATTTAAAAGCAAGTTGTGACCGAAGTATAAATGGACAATGTTTTCCTGCTTTTTGAAAATTTCTTCTGATGACTCAAAAAAAATCTTCATAATTTCTTTGCACATTTAAAAGCACAACCTGTGTCTAGGAAGCATAGTTACATATGCATTGTTTCCTACAGAAAAAAATGGAGAAATGTAGGTTTGTGGTGGGCTTTTCTAGCCACAGCAGGCAGCCAGGGGCATTGCATCACACTTGCTGAGAGCCAGTAGTTCACACAAGACTACAGATATAGATGGGAATCTGTCCAGTGGTATGTCTCATAAAAAAGACTGAAATTAAATCTATTTACAAATGTGTATGTTCTTATGACGCTAGCTTTCTTCAATCATTTTAAAGGATTTTTTTATTTATAAAAATGGTTTTTTTCTGACTATGAGAATCAGATTCACCAAGCTTTAAAAAAAAAGCCTAGACAATCAGAAGCTCAAAACAAATGAAATGGCCAAAGGCAATTTTTAGGTAATTTTCTTGTGAAATTATTTGGCATATTTGTCCCTACAGTGCTAATTTTATGAACAGAAGGAAAAACATACAAAAACATACGGAACAAAAGAATACACAAAACTGTATTCATAGGATATAGATGTTATAAATAAAAATGGATATTTAGTGCTTATGAAAATTTATTTTTAAACACATCAAATTAGCAAGCAAAGTAACAGTTATTTACACATGTGTTATTTACACGTTTAGGATAGAATACAAGGAATGTTATTAAAGTAGTTAGAATTAGAAGAGGATTATTCTGTTAATCAGAAAAAACTGAGGAATTCTGAAAAGCAGTTCTTTTTACCTTTATGTTAAAATATAAACTTTTGTAGCTTAATTTTAAGAAAAGCCAAATCATAAGTCAAATTTTGACTATGCAGTAAAAGAATCATTATAATATACAGCTAAGATTAGGCTAGTAGAGATTTGAATTTAAGGATTTGAAAGTAATAAGATTTACAACACAGAAGGTTTTAGTCATTTATCATATTTTGTATCACTGCAATGCAATAACCTAACAGAATCTTACTTTAAAATTTTAGAACTACTTATTTCAAATGAAAAAATTATTTCAAATAAATTTCAAGTAAATTTATCATGCACCATTAAGTACAGATTTTAAAGTGCTTTTTTACAGGACAAATACTACCTATGTTTGTAGAAATATAGAATTTTAGAGTTGAAAGGGAATTTAGGGTTCCTTAAACTAACTCCATCACTTTACCCAGGAACAAATGGAAGTCCAGAAAATTGAAGAGAAGTGCATAAGAATACATAGCCAGAGAATTATCGATTATACTAGAACCCAAGTTTGTTGATTTCTTAATATATGGCTTTCTTTTTTTCTTTATAGATAAAAATTTGGACAAAACTCACACATAAAAGGCTTTTTTAACATCTAGTATATATAAATGAGCTTACAGGCTTTCTAGTTTAGATTTTTAAGGGTGACTTTTTGTTAAAATAAGTTTTAATGGTTCCAAGACTATAATTGAGAATGAAAATGCTACTCTGAAGCCATATTATATAATTTTAACTTTTCTTTCAAATTCTTTTCATTTATGCCCAAGTAAAATAAATACGATTTTCTACTATTTTGGATAATACAACTGTTTGAAAAGCGCTGACTTTAAAGTAGCTAAGTTATTCTCTCAATTTAACACCTAAGCTATTCTCTCAATCTAACACCTATGAACTAATATATAAGGACCAACACTTTAAAGTAAATGAAAACATAAAGGAAGGAGAAGTAAAAGCTGTACCTGCAGTTGTATTTTTGTATCTTTGCTGACACTTTTTGTTCTCCAGCGTCTTGTGACCCGCTTGTCTTTCTTTGAAATATCTACACAGTTAGCCTACATTATACAAATAGTTAAAAGCAACAAAGAATTATTAAATTCACACAGATGATACACACACAGACAAAGAGCACAGCAAGTTAGTGAAGAATCATGTTAGAATCTCAAAGCTAACCAGCTGGACAGAAGTCATCACATTGAAAGCAGAGACTTTTACAATTCAGTTGTAAAAGGTATTTTTCTGATATGAGAAATAAAAAGAATTAGAGACTACATCTTTTCTACCTGAAAAGATTATCATAATTCTGAAGTCTATACCTTCAAAGACATGATCTAATGCAACAGAAATATGGAGAATGATTTAGATGTATGCTTGCATAACAGTCTGTACTGTGTTTAAATGTTAAACTTTTTTTTAAAAAGTCATTTTACTTAACACAATGACACCAAGATTCAAAAATATTAAGAATAAGTCTAGAATATAAACTGTCTTTATTATGCTTATGTCCCTTTAAGCATCAGCTTTCTATCCATAGAATGATCAATAGATTACATGTTTACATCTTAAGTTTTTACCAGGGGCAGACATATGTTTACCTGCATATCAGTGAAGTTAGGTGCTGACTGAGTTCTCTGAAGTATCTCCAAATTTTGCAGGAGTTTGCTAAGTTCCACCAGGTTTGATTGGCAATGTGCAAGATCTATTAAAAATCAGAAATAAAAATGTTAGAATTGGGCAAGGATGTCATGTGATGACTGTAATAAAAAAGGACCTAGTAATCCACATTATGCAAATATGATTAGGCAGATCCAGGTTTATAGGATGGTGGTATTAGCAAGGGAAACAAAGCAGACCACTCTCTGGTTTGTAACTGTAAAACAATTGATTAGATGATTTCAAAGCCCATTCTTACTAATTAATGGCTCTTAGCATGGATGTCATAAAAATCCCAGTCAAATTGTGTGTGATTACTTTCCTGCCCTCATGGCTTTTGTAACATGGGAAATACACTCAAGGGAACTTCTGCAGTCTGTAAGTTATATTTTTAAGGTCCTATCTGTTTCTCTAAAATAGTTTACAAGGTGGTTGTATGGAATTTGGGTGGAATCAAAGTAAGGTTCACAAAAACAGAATGGAATACAAAATCAGTTAAAATATTTATAATTTAGCTCACTAACAATGTTGCGATGAATGATTTCTTTAACATCTGAGACATTGCATTAACTAATTTAACATTTTATCTTCACGGAAAAAGTATGTTCCAAGAGCCAAAAAGTTTCCCTATGTATTTAAGGTCTGGACTAGTATAAGCCAGACCGAGGAATTGCCAGGTACTTTAAGTATCAGAACTATACATCAGATATACAATGGGTTTATAAGGGATCTTTCGAAACACAACCAATGAAATACGCAAGAAGCATTCTTACTTTTGAAATGCAACTAATCTCAATATTAGGCACTCTCTATGGCAAACTATCAATATAGGTTTTTTTAAAAATGCTATAGGATATTAGAAAAGGGAGGGCAACTGTTGTTTTGGGGCATAAGAATAGACATAAGAGAGTGGACATTTTTCTGGGCAGGGAGATTGATGGAAAGATTTCAGCAAAACAGAAAGGTAGGGAAGAATAGAGAGGGCACTTCAGGTTGGGAGGAGCAACCTGCCCAAAGGCATGCAGGGAGTGATATACAAATATGTTCATGCAATAGCAGCTTGGTTGAGTCTACGGAAGGCAAGGTTGAAAGGGTATCTAGGGCCAGAATCCTGGCTTGCTAAATGCTAAACGCTAGGCTAAGCAGTTTGGACAAATGCCCCAGAGCCAATGGAGAATAACTGAAGGGTTTTTGCATAAAAGCTATTTTAAGAACTAACAGTCTTGAGGGAACACTATACAATGGACAAAGAATTGGCTTTAGGGTTAGTTAAATGTGGGTTGGCTGGTAGTTGCCTCCCTCAGGGCAACTAGATAACCGTGGGTAAATTTCTGAACCTTTATGCATTTTACTTTCCTCAGCTACAAAGTGGGGATAACAGCAATAACTGTGTCTCAAGACTGAATGTGACAGAATAATTCTAAGTGCTGACATGCACACAGGTTCAAGAGTAGTAATTTCCCATGAGCCTCTGAGAGGAATGAAGCCCCAGAGCAAGAGACTAAGATGGATAAACCAGTCAGGAGGCTGTGTGACCACCATGGCCTAAGTCAGAAGTACAGGAGTATAATTCAAAAAAAAGGTAGATCAGAGGGAAGGGTGAGGGGGTGCTTTCAAAGAAATAACAGGACTGTCTCTGTTGGATGAAAAGGGATGAGGGCTTGCAGGGGTGGTTATGACAGCAGTACTGACAGAGACAGGAAGTCTGGGTGCTGTTCCGACCCTCAGCAAAGATCCAACTGAAACAACAGCAAGACAAGTTCAAACCTGTGCTCTGTAGTCAGTACGCCCAAGTTTGAACCCAAGCTCTACTTTACTTGCCATGGGAAGTGGGTCAAGGGAAGAACTTCTCTGTACCTAAGTTTCCCAGGAGAGGCTCAAGAATCACTGCTGTGGAAACCTGCCAGAGTTCTTGGAGAGTGAAGTCAGCCTGAAGCTACCACACCGTAGGAGTGTTTGGTGAGTATATCCAAGGAAAATCTTTTAATGGAATGGCAGCTGGATATGATTATGAACATAAAATTCCTCTTAATATATCCTAGTTTCACAGAGAGATTAAGTTTGGGAAGTGGGTGTCTTAAGGCTGGTAAAAATGCTGCAGACTTTGGATTCACATACTAGTGGGTGAAACACATTTTCTTTTTTTGATTGGGAGGCTGACACAGATTGGCAAATTTTAATTTTTTTCAAAGTAAGAACATCAAATAGTTACCTAACATCTACTTTTATTATAATCCTATAAAAGAAAAACTATAAAAAATATTAATCCTGACAATCATCTCAAAATGATTTAATAAATAATCCACTGAGTTTTATAAAATACTCTCTACATTGCCCTTGTTCTTCTTAGCTTTGGAGATGAGATAAAAACTGTCTCAGAGTGGAAGTGGCCTGTGGATCAAGTTTGGGTTAATGTGCTCTGGCTGATCACAAGGAAGAAGGTGAGAGATTAAGTGACTCAGAGATGGCAGAATATTCAGAATATTTAAAAACTGATCCACAGTGAAACATCACCAACAGGGAAAGATGCAGCACATTGGAATTGTGCTGTTTATCTCTATGTCATCAGGAAACACACACTTGTTCGTAAATAAGACAGCAGCAGAGAAGGCAGCTGGGCAAGGGACCTAGAGAGGAGGGCATAGCAGAGTCCAGGAGTATGGGTGGAGGGCTTTCCAGGGTTGAGGGTGGAGGGTGAAGGAAGCCAGAGGGAACTGGTAAAGAGATCAGGAGGGAAGGCTGAAACAGGTAGAGGTCTAGATAAGGACAAAACTCAGATTCATGTGTTGTGAGGGTGCAGAAAAACTAGCAGATAATAAGCCCAGGTCATGGAATGGAGAACAATAGACTTAAAAAAGAAATGTATGATACAAGTCTAAGATGGGGACCATCTGCGGGCGGGGGACGACCCATGGGAGCAGGGAGGGTGAAAGGAAAGGGTGATGGAGTATGTGTAAATATAACTGAAGTACTTCACATGCATGTATGAACATACAATAATGAAACCCATTAAAATTGTTTAAAAAGTGGGGGAAGGGTGCAAGAAAGATGAAAAGTACATTATCTGCACATATGGACATATCACAGTGAACCACTTTTGGACAATTAACACACTAATAAAAATAAGAAAAGAAAAAACAATGGCAATGTATTTATATTGTGAGTTCTGGTTTAGTTTGGCTTTGGTCTCAGGCTTCTTCTGATACATGGGCAAGAACTAACCTTCTGCACACCTGTCCATTTCTTCTGAGTCCTGCAGCCAGGCTGCCACTTTGCTTTGGCCAGTCGTGCAGGTCGCAGGGAGGCTATTGCTACATGGCAAAGGGGACTGCCATGGAAAGCTGTTTGGCTGCACCTACAACAAATAAAACAGAGATGAAGCATATGGTTACTTTGTTAGAAAGTACAGGTATCCTCAAAGTGACACTAAAGAGAATGGAATAAAGGATGCATTCAAATATGGAAAAAGTATCTTGGGCAAAATTCATAAACAATAACAGTACCCTTACTAAGTTGCCAGTTCCATCATTCAATGAAGGAGATAATGTTCCAAGTATTTTGAGTCTCATACTCACAAGGACCTGCCAGCTCAAATTTGTAATCATTTTAAACTTAATTTTAAATTGTTCAGTTATATTTGACAGTATCCTTATTGTGATACACCTAACTCATGATTTAAGGCCTTCCTTTCCAAAAGATCTCTGTGCCTGTGGTCATCTTCAGCTCTGGTCAGCCATATGATTCCCAAATCCATTATATACCAGCAAGCAGCCTTGCAATACTTTGAATATACACCAAAAATTACATTAAAAGGCAATCTTGCCAAATCATTCTATATAGCTGATAGAATTTCCATTAAAAGGATTTTATGTGAATTAAAGTTGTATGAAATATGTAGATAGTAGGATGAGTGCAATAAAAATTCAGTGAACTAAACAGAAACTTATGTTCCAAGAAGCCAAAATAACTTTAAAATTCCATATTTGACTTTAATATTCAATTACCACTGATTTTGTCTCTTCTAAATCATTATGAAGTGAATGACGAACACACTTAGCAAACCCAGACTTATTTATTACCCACAGAGGGCCACTAATCAATCAACATTTGGGAGTCTCATAATTTGATAAGTAGAAGGCAAGCAAAGTGATAAAGAGCTCTTTTCAGTTCCTTTTGCCTTTTCATAAATGTAATGGAAATCTCTCCTTGAGTGAGATCTTACAAGTATGTCATTTGCAACTAGAGAAATAGATATTTTTGAAAACCAGAATTGAAGAGCTTTCTTGTTCCAGGGCAAACAGTGGGGAGGATTGGTTTCAGTTCACCATTCTCAGATATCACCCAAGTTATTTGATAAGTAAGACAAGGGATAAAAATAATGCATCTTTTATCAATACTTGGTACCAGATGTATAGGCAGTAGCCGGAAAAAACAAAGAATTAAAAATTCATTCATTTCTACAGATCCATTTGGGATACATTTTTCATTTAATTTGGACTAATGCTAGGATTTGTTTTATCCTGTGGGGAGAACACAGGTGGCCCACAGAAACTTGTATTCTATCTTGGGAATCTGTAAGTTCCCAAATTTCTAGTCCTCCAACTTCCTAGTATTTGAGAACTGGTTGGCATTAGGGTTACCCCAGCCCTAAGAACAAAGTAATTAAAAAGTCCATAGCAAGACGGCAACCAAGGTTTGAGAGCCTTGTGAAATATAATTAATGAGTTACAATGAAAATTATTTAAGTAATTTCCACTGAAATGACAAAAACTGAATACAGTAATGTTGCACTAAATCTGGTTTAGTTAGTCTTGCTGTTTCTTAATGAGGTTTCCCAGTGCTTTTCAAAAGAAACACGGACCTAGTTATTACATCACTTCTGTGGAAGAAAACAGAAAGCAGAATCTCTGCTGAAATGTTCTCAAACCCAATCCTGCAGGAGCTCTCTGTCCTTAACTTCAGGTGCCAAGTGTGAAGCTGGACTACCCCTTGCCAATGCCACGTGGCCAGGTTGCAGGGACCTTAATTACTAAATCAAAGTAACATCGGCTTTTAAACAGGAAATACCTCTAGCTTTTTCGCAACATAGAAAATGTACTTTTACTTCAGCTCAAAGAACAACTTCAGCCTCCCTTGCCTGGCACCTGTTATAATGAAAAGGGTAGTGGTTTTGAAACCAGAAATGTGGAGACCAGTTCTAAAATGGCATAGCCATTACTGATTGCCTCTGATCTTTGGCTATATGAAAGATGGAGATGAGTGAATGCCAAATGCTTCACACAGTACCTGGTCAATGGAACAGACTACTGGTTATATGATTTGTTGTATTCTCCAGCTTACTAGCATTGACTTCATGAGAGTATTTACCAGCTTTTCTCTGAGTCATGGATATATTATTGCTCAAGGTGGGAAAGCAAGTTTCATTTTCAGAACTGTGTAGTCATTTTATTACCAACTAAAAAGGTACCTGATTTCTAGATGTTGATGAGATAAATGCTTGCTTTACTTCCCACTATTTCTGCAAAGCCACATTAAATAGAATGTAGTCCTATTTAATAGGAAAAATAATGATAATGTTTTTGCTGATCCTCACTTCTGACTGCACTTGTAATTAACTTTGATGCCAATGTCACTGTTGTCTTCTGAGTGTCAGTTTATAAACCTCTTTCTGGTATTTTCAAATGAGATATGTTGATGTTTTTGCGTAATTTTCTAAGCAATTTCCAGGGTGATTTTTTTTATGACCAAAGTCCTACCTTTCCATCCACAACAGAAACATTAGCAGCTGGGGAAGACTCAGCTGTAGAGGTTGCAGGAAATATGTGAAAACTAGCATCTCTTGGCGATCTCACAATTTCATTCTGACGGTATAACCGGTGATGGCGCAGTTTGGAGACCCAAGCATCAAACCAGTCCTGGGATTTTACCTGAAACACGATCATGAGGAGAAGGTAACTGGGAAACCAATCTCCTGTCTACACGGTTGCAGGCAAATTATTTCCCTGCTAATGTCAGAGAAGCTGTTGAAAAGCAATTTCACCTTCAAATGATAGATGTGCTCTTCAGTGTCAAGGTCTATCCTCCGAGCTTTCTTTTTAATTGACATGACTGACAGTCCGACATCTATGCTCCCATGGACCTTCCCTTTTTGAATCTGAAATCAAAAGAAGTGTAAGTAGGTTGGAAGGTCATATGGTCTGATGTGTTTCTATAATGAACTGAAGTGAGCTCAAGGTAATTTTTAACTTATTTATGGGAAGTGGATTATAACACATCTTTAATAAAGAGAAAATGACTAAAGTTTTGAGGTTAAGATTCTTAAACCAAGGATAGTTGAAATTGCTATGACTTCACACCAATTTCAATATGTGATACTATCCATCTTATTCTTATTTTTGGCATAACCAATAATGCCAATTCTTCATAATTCTAGACCGCACAGCCTATGTCCCCTTAAAAAGACAACTTCAATGGTTCCTAAAATAACTGTAGTCAATTTTGACCTATGACTCACAACATCCATGAATAGTCATCTGGAAGACATCTGCTAGTGCAGAATTGGGGAGCTGGGACCAGAGAGTAGGGACCAGCTAGCTCCTCATGGATGCCACCTCCTGATTAAGGATATAGCCGTTTCAATGGCAAGAGATGGGGACAAAACTGAAATCTGAGACCTTGGTTATTTCTATATTTCCTATACCACAATAAGGAGAGAACTTACCAGTTTTGCATGCAAACTACTACTTTATATATTAAATGAAAATAGTTTGGAACAATATTAGTTAGAATCTCCAAATAAAAGGATGCATGAAATAGAAATGAAGTCCAAAAGACAGCTTTTAAAAGGACATGGACAACAATTAAGATTGCTTTAAATCTCAAAAAGCACATAAAGCAGAGTTACAAAAAAAAAAAAAAAGATTATTTGTGTCTTCTCTCCAAAAGAGAAAGGGTGATTTTATTAATGTGTCAGTTTTAGGTTGAAACTTCTGTTTTTAACAGCTAAATGAAATCTTCATGCACTAGTTTGAGATTTTATGCTATCTTGAATATAAGCGTAAAATACACCTTCTCTGGAACATGCAGGCTTGGTAGCTCATCAAATATCACAGGTATAGACATGCACTATACCTGGTAAACACTGGTAACTAGGGCACAGTGCTTTGTACAATTACAGTGTTTACTCACTTCAAGGAGAATTCTAAAGCAATCTTTGCAACATGTCTGTGTGCTACTTACATCAAGTGGTGCCTTTGAATACTTTAACATTCCATTATCCAGGACAAAAAAACGCTGCAAGAACCAAACACCCCTAGTTACTGCCTGTAGTTTGAATTACACAAAACATTTACAAAAGTCAGTCTAAAGTTGCTTGGAATTTAGTAATTAATACATTTGGTCATTTTAACGTATGAACACAAGTGCACCTGGCCACGGTCAGTAACATTAAATGGTAAGGAGATTAGAGCTCTAGAGTTTGTGCTACAAGGACTATACTATTTTTTTTTTTTAAACAGATAACCCAATAGAGACGGGGTCTTTTCACCATAGTTTATCTTAACAAGGGGGAATCTCAGGGCCTACAGTTAAAACTTTCGGAAGGAACCACATTGAGATGTTCATTAGAAAAAAATGAAAATAACCTGGATAAGATGATCATGGCAATTCTGTGAATTCTACAAAATTCTACTGGGAACTTTTCACCCTGGAGGTAACTCCTAAATTTCCCCTGAATACTATGGATACTTTCTAAAAAATGTTTATGCCCCATTACACAAGCCAGAAGATTAGATTCATTAACAAGTTACCTAGAAAGTTTAAGCAGCCTTAGTAATATAAGCCTTAGCTTATATTTTCCAATTATTCCACTTGCATTTGCTATTTGTAAAAGAGATAAAAAGTTATTTCCAAATTACACTAAGGGTAAAATGGGGCAGGGGAGAGACTCTCTGCTGTTCATTTCCCTTTTGTGGCCAGTTCACAAAAGAAAAAATAGCTCCAGGACCCAATCACATCACGGGTGGTCCCCTCCTCTAGTTCTGTAGCTATAGGGAGTACTCCCTCTCTGTGAGATTACTCTGCTGGAAAGTTCTTATGTTACTGAAGAACTCTTAGTTGCTGAGGTTGTAGGCAATCAGCTGGGGGGAGGGGACACCCTGCCTAGAACTCACAAAATGCCACTGTAATTCCTTTTTTTCAAATTCTGGGGGACAACAAGGAAATAAGTACCAGAAGAAAGAATCTCCATATTGAAAAACAATCAATTATTCAATTGCCTGTAACCTGGGCAGTCAAATGGGCTGATGCTTGAATCTATATATGGTGGTATTAGAGATCACGAGAAGAGCAATTTCGAGGGAACCCACCTATTATTTATGCAGCAATATGTTCAAAGGCATTGTCCAGAAAGTTGAGGAACCACAGCCAGTTTTGCTGAATCGTGAACTGAGTGCTAAAGCTAGCACTTTGCTAAAAAAATGTATTTTTTTGACCTCTTTTTGCTAAAAATTTCTATCTATCAAAGAATTTTAGCCCGGATAACTTACAGGATGTCGCAGCAAAGAGCTTAGCAAGGCCACTGACTGAAGAAAATGCAAAGTCAGAATGAAAGGCAAAAGTGGTCCTAGAAAGGATCATCGGCTGGCCAAAATTCAAGAAAGAACGGTGGAGGGAGATCCCTGGGATTGGTATAGTATTGCAGGTTCCAGAGAGACAGTTTCTATTTTTTTTTATTATTCATATGTGCATACAATGCTTGAGTCATTTCTTCCCCCTCCCTCCATCCCCTGCCTTACCACCTACCCTGTCCCCTACTTCTCCCTCCCCACTCCCTCGATACCCCGGCAGAAACTATTTTGCCCTTATCTCTAATTTTGTTGAAGAGAGAGTATAAGCAATAATAGGAAGGAACAAGGATTTTTGCTAGTTGAGATAAGGAGACAGTTTCTAAAAGGGAAAGGGCTACTACTTACAGCCCCATTGACCTGTTTTCATTCCACCTTCGGGGACAGGGAATTGAGGCAATGTTTCCCAACTGGTCATTCTTAAGTCTTTTCCTTAAACTGAATAAAATGTTTCTTCAAGGAAGTTAGAATTCATAACCTCCCTGTTTGGAGGCAGCGAGCAGCCACCACCCAGTCGTTCAGGGTGACAGACCCATCTGTTTTGAGACTCATCAGAAGAGGTGGTATGTAGATGAACTTGCTTTTGCATTAATGCTGAAGACCACAATAAACTGTCTACCACAGGGCTTATAGTGAACATGGAAGAGAACTGCCTCCTTCTTAGCACCACAGAATTATTTTTGGAGACAGGATCTCATAAACTCATGCACTCAAATGACCCTCCTGCCTCTACCTTACAAGTAGTTGGGACCACAGGCATGTCCCAACATGTCCAGTGAGGGCCACAGTATTCCTGCTAGTCAGGTAATTATAACAGTGCAGCAAAAAACATGTTCTCCCTAATTAAAACCAGGAGATAAAAAAGGATGTTGGGAGGGGAGCGAAGAATAGACTGTTTTAAGTGGCAATAAACAAACTTCTAGAACCAGTAATTTTTCAAATTTAGTTTGTACTGGTAACAGCAACTGTAGGAATTTATCCCAAGGAATTAAAGAGTATTCTATTATAAAGATATCCATCATAACATCTAACAGTAATAAAAATTAGACAAGTCCTAAATATCATCAATAAGAAACTGGTTTAATAACGGGAAATAAAAATCTATACAGTTGATATATGCTTGCATTTAAAAATATTCTATATTTAAAAAAAATTTTATGAGAACACAGCCATACTAATTTCAGTGAAAAAGTAGGTTAGACAGTAATATGTATAATTTGCATTTCAATATCATATAAAATATTTTTTCCTTCCATATGAATATTCCAGATTCAAGTAGATCTGAGATTGTAACTCATATGGTTAAAATAAGGCCTTAAAATTAGTTTTATACAAATAACAGCCTTGGCTCCCCATCTAATAATATCAAGTAAGATCCTCCCTGAGAAGATGATCTGAACTTGAATCTGATAAAAACGTTACCTTGTGCCAGCCTTTTAAAGGCCATTTTCTTTTCTTCAGCATAAATCCCTCATGTTTGTCTGGTTTCTGGACATTAGTTTGGCCTATTTTTAGCCCTTCTATAATTTCCCAGCTGTCAGCTTCCTGAGAAAAGAAAAACAAACCACATATTTTTCTGTGGTTAATGACACACTTAAAGCAAATTCTTAAGTAGAAGTTGCTTTTGAAGCAGCACTCGACCTGCAGAAGTATGAATGACATTCTGGAGCAAATTGTAACATCAAATGCAGCTATGCACTTTTAACTGAATTAAAACGAATTTCTCAGATAGATCTGGAGGCATTCGGGGTCCATCAGAGATTCACTGGGGCCACTTTGTCTACTTGGGGTGGAAAAGAGTTTTGATTACTTGTCTTCAGAATGCTTAAAACCATTTTTGCCCCCTGGGAGTTAATTTCTGAGCACCGAGGAACTTTAAAGTTTTAAAATAAGACTTTTGATGACAAATGTTCAATTAGTGTACAGATCGGCTTTTTATGTAGAAATAGGAAGCCTGCAGCACCCTAATGTGGCTCATAACCTGCTACTGATACAGAAAAACAGTGCTGTGGTTGCTTACTCTTGATATAGCAGCTCAAAGTGTGCATGAAATGCCTCCCTCGCCAAATATACACTAAGAAGTCCAGGCTTTCCAAGATACATTCCCCCTTGGGAGCCTGTGGAAAGAGAATTAGGCCGCAAGGCAAGAATCTGCATTCTAGAGCTGGGGATAACTCACTGATAGAGCATGTGGGAGGCCCTGAGTTCAATCTCCAGCAACAAAAATTAAAACAAAATAAAACCTAAAAAACAAAAGAACTGTGATTCTAGAGTCTACAATCCCATCCTGTTAAAAACTGAGTAAATCACATTTACTCTTTTATAAGACATGCTTTACTTATCTATTAACTTAGTTCTTTTTTGGAGGGGATAGTATTGAGGGTTGGACTCAGGGCCTTGTACTTGCTAGGCAGCCATGCTACCACTTGAGCCATTCTATCAGCCCTTTTTGTGGTTATTTTGGAGATAGGGTTTCCCTTTATGCCTGGGCTGCCTAAACTATGATCTTCCTATTTATGTTTCCTGGCATACTTGAGACGACAGGTGTGTGCAAATGTGTCCACTTGAGATGGGGTCTTATGAACTTTTTGCCTAAGCAAAAAGCTCCCAAACAGAAGCAGCAGCTCCCAAAGCTGCAACAGGCTTCTCACATCCCTGGACCAACTGCTCAATCCTGCCCACAGCTCAGGGCAACAGAATCTCTCAATACAATATAATCTGCTCTGCTGCCTTAGCTTTGGAAGGTTGGCTGCACCATCCACAGATCAGGGCAGCTCCTTTGCACCATGCCCCATCCCAAACTGATTGTGAAATTGCCTTCCTTAAAGATTTTTTTTTTTTCTATCAGAAACCATTCTTAGACCTCAGAATGAAAGGCTCAATAGGATCAGCTAATGGAGTTCACTTCAGAAGAGATGGATTTGTTGGCCCAAGTAAGCCAGTGGCAACTGCCTAAAAGCTGCTGATGGACTATGAGGGGAAAGGTACCATAATTAGCTACTGATGTAGCCATGGGATAGGAAGGGGAAGGGGCTGAGTGTTTACCACCCTTTCTTCTCTCCTCTGGTTTCTCTGGCATTCCAGAAGCTGCTTGCCCTATGGCCAAGTCTAATCTATGTTAAATTTAAATATGAGTAAATAGGGTGATACTTTCACACAAAGTTATGTTTCTAGGAGATATAAACTCAGTAAGGCTAGAAGATGCTTCTGATTTCTCAAAAGTCCCAGAGGCACCAGGCCTTTGTCCTACCTAAGCCCAACTCCACAACTACCTAATCACCACCCAGGAAAAACAACATGAGATTACTGTCATTTCTTCATCTTCTTAGTCATTGCTGAAGAATGATCAATATACCTTATAAAAACTCACCTACTGGTGTTCATTTAGCGATGTTATGAGCTGTTAAGGATTGGTAATGATGCAAGAAGTAGTTTCTGCTTGAAAAGAGTTCTATCTGAAACTCTTATTGATCTGGTCAAAAGTGTTACTTAAATACAGTTGAACTTTTAAAAACTGGAAAAAAGTTTCTGAGGAGGCAATTTCAAGGTGTACAGACTATCATGTTTTTTGGAAAATACAAGTACAGATGGCATCATCACGTTATTCAAAGTACCAAGTATAATATTTTGGCATCCACTTTCTTAATACTGGGGTGCAATTCAACAAGTAAGCACTACTTATGAATAATATAAAAATAATAAAAAAAAGAAGTTCTTACAAAAGTCCAGAATCTTTGGCTTTCTGTTCTTATCAGGAAAATAGATAACTACTCAATTCAAGAAACTAAAAGAACAAGTCCCCCAATAAGTATAAATGTATTCACCTGACCTTTCTGTTAGAAAGATGTCAGCTGTATCTGAAGGTATTTCTACTTTTAGTGACTGCATCCATGGATAGTATCTTTAGAACAGCATTTTTTATTTGTGACTATCTAATACTGTGTGTGTGTGTGTGTGTGTAGCAATGAAGAATACTCCATAACTTGTGAACATGGAAACATTTAATATTAATAATAATATTAATATTTCTTTTAATTAAACTCAGAATGTAATAAAATATCTTTGTGGGGCTATGGGTATTAGGGTGTTTTTCTTCTTTGGAAGTTTAGCTGGGAGGGGGGAAGGGATAAAGGAAGAGACAAAAGGTTAAATATATTTCTTAAGCATAAATGCTACAGCTCTGAACAAGCAATTCCAGTTTGTCTGAAGCAATATTCCTAAGCCTAGCAAAAGAAATAGAAAAGAATGTTAATATAGTTCTTAAAATTAAATAAGCTGTCAAACTGACAAAGAGGCAAAAGAGAAAACCAGAGCAAACAATGTTCCACCTATTTCAATTATAAATGCCAATAAATAAAGTATGCAAGAAATGAAACAACCCATCTTAGTACCAGATAGAATCTTCTGTGTTCTATTTTATATTACACTGAAATGTCCTCCTCCTAGTAGACTATGTCTACCATAAGAAAATGAAAGTAACTTTCTAAAAGTTGAAGATTTTTTTTGAAATTTCAATTCTCCTTTTCTGCTTAAAAGTTTCCAATTCTCCTAGATCTACTTGAATCAAGAAACAGAGACAAAAGTCCTGATATGATAATTAGTACTTGAATTAAGTCAGATATACAAACATTTTTGGCATTATAGAAGTTTTCTAAAAATACTTTTAATCTAGTAACAATTAATAAAAGCAAAAAGCAATCTAACAACAGACTGAGTCTGTTTATTTGAAAAAGCACACATTTCCTTTCTCCAGGTCTACTGTATATGTGTGTATGATTGTGTGTGTAGGGGTTGGGGGGTGGTAGGATGGGATGCATATAAAAATGCTGTAAGAATTGAAGGATCAAACAAAAAAAAAACTGAACAAATCTTGAGTCAGGACAATGTGTGCCTCAAAGTTCTACTACCAAACAAGTGCTCAGGAAGCCTGACTTCTTTTAAAGGGCTGAGAGACAGCAAGGTGCTATGATACCTGGATTGGCACGCCCTCTGATTTCATGAAGCCCCAAGATTTGTTCTGAACCTACCAATACAAAAACACAAGGTTCATTTGTCCTATAGCAAGATCCAAATGGGCAACAACATGGAAAAGTAACGGGTAGGGGATACCTTGGTGTCATTCTGTCAGGACAGTGGACCCACACCCCGAACTGCTGTGAGCAGGGCTAGTATGAGGAATTAATGTTTGACTAAGTTGAGACTTTTATGCCTGGGAAATCATGCTGTAATTATAAGTAAAATAAGAATATGAGTATCCACTTGAACAAACTGAGGACTGACTGAGAGAATGCATGTTCTAATTCAGGGTCTGGCACAAAATAAGTGCTCAGTAAATGTTAGCTACCTTTTCCACCACTCCATGTTTATTTATTCTCTTTCTTTGCACTAACTACAAGAGAGAATGGATATTTCAAAGAGATACACCTGTTATATTTAACATTCTCTACTTGTTGTTCAAATGGAAGCCAGTCAATTTTTATTCCTCTCTAAATTATTTTTACTGTTTAGTAGCTCTCCCTTTCTGTGGCTTTAGGAGTCTACTATCTAATAAGCTTTGTAGCTTGTAATGTCTTCAAACTATAAAGAGGTACAAGTGTACATTTTCCATAGTACTAGGGTAGTAACATGTTCTTTTCTTAAAAGATTATGTTTAATACAGGAACAGTAAAATGGAAGGATCAGCTATACATATTTAGAAGCTAACCATCTTTGGAAATAAAGTACTATTTTTAGACGTGAACTCAAAATCTGCATGCATTCTATTTTCAGAGTTTCTCAGTAAGGGAGCCAGACCATTGAACTTCGATGGAGATGAGTAGGATGACTTTTACATTTTAGACATAAATGACTTTAGATGTTTGCCCAGTCTGAGGAAGAACAGGTTGAAGGGGAAGGAAATCTAGTTTCTATGAAACAGAAAAGGTGTTAATAATCTGTAGTGTTCTCCCCGGAGCTCACAGGTAAGGAAGGCCAGATGTGAGAAGGAGAACAGAGCCTGGAACATGTGACAGCCCTTGGTTTAGGTTCTCTTTGATCTGGTTGGTCATGCACAGAGGGGAAGCATCTGTTGTAGAGTTGGGAAAATCTAAGTTTGAATTCCTGCTCTGATACTTCCCATTTTTTAATTGACTTTGGGCAAGTTATTTTCAATTTCCACACTTCTAAAATGTAATACATATTTACATTGTATGGAACTGTTTAAAAGAAATATATTAAATGGGATAACATATTTAAGCACTTAGCATAGTGCTTGGTATGCAATAATGGTGTTATTGATATTATTATCACTAGACCCAATGATATTTTTTCCACAAGCTCGGCAGAAAAATATTTATCTCTCTTACAATGAATAATGGTTTCTCTTTTCTTCTTCCCTGAAAATACAGAGAATTTTATGTCTTTGTGTGTAATCTGCAAATCCAAGAAAAATAACCTTTCAACTACTTTCTCCTTATACAAAACAGAAAAATTCTTTGTACTGGAAGCAGAAAGAAGTAGAAGAGATGCCCTACAGTCAGCATCATAGCTACCTTAAGACAGTCAAGAGTAAAAGTTATTCACAAATCATTTGTTCTCAGAGCAGGCGTTGTGCCATCTGAGAAAGCAACCACATTTTGTCACTGACCTTGGAAAGGGGAACCGGCTCTGGTTCTAACAATTGCCGACTTACAGAGGGCTCCGTGCTAGAGGAAGCAGTCCTCTCCAGTATATGAATACTCTGCAAATGAATAGAAATATAGCTCAGAGTTAGATCATCCATTCCACATATCAGTGGGCATGGGGGTGAGCTCACACAGATCATGGCACAAACAATAAGCTATGTTAAGAATGGCAAGTGCCTTAGAGGCCAAAGTCAACAGTAGCAGCCAGGAAATGTGTCAGTACAGGATTCTGCTTTCTCTTCTTTTGGATTTATTGCTGAGTTTCTGCTGCAATGCTAGTTCAAATCCTAGAGAAGGAGTCAGAGTTAGTTTCTCTGGAAAAACCTTGGGACACAGAAAAACAATTAAGTGTATCTGACACTTTTACAATTTTATGATAATGGCACATCTACTCCTTGGACTCATTAGCCTAACATAGAAATATTTGCACATTTCTCCAATAGAAAATGGCAACAAAGTTATGGAAACAGCCAAGATGCCCCACTACTGACAAATGGATCAAGAAAATGTGGTATCTATATACAATGGAATTTTATGCAGCCATGAAGAAGAAAGAAATGTTATCATTTGCTGGTAAATGGATGGAATTGGACAGCATCATTCTGAGTGAGGCTAGCCTGGCCCAAAAGACCAAAAATCATATGTTCTCCCTCATATGCGGACATTAGATCAAGGGCAAACACAACAAGGGGATTGGACTTTGAGCACATGATAAAAGCTTTAGCACACAAGGGAGGGGTGAGGATAGGTAAGACACCTAAAAAATTAGTTAGCATTTGTTACCCTCAACGCAGAGAAACTAAAGCAGATACCTTAAAAGCAACTGAGGCCAATAGGAGAAGGGGACCAGGAACTAGAGAAAAGGTTAGATCAAAAAGAATTAACCTAGAAGGTAACACACATGCACAGGAAAGTAATGTGAGTCAACTCCCTGTATAGCTGTCTTTATCTCAACTAGCAAAAACCCTTGTTCCTTCCTATTATGGCTTATACTCTCTCTTCAACAAAATTAGAGATAAGGGCAAAATAGTTTCTGCTGGGTATTGAGGGGGTGGGGGGGGAGAGGGAGGGTGCGGAGTGGGTGGTAAGGGAGGGGGTAGGGGCAGGGGGGAGAAATGACCCAAGCATTGTATGCACATATGAATAATAAAACAATAAAAAAAAGAATCATCTGCAAGATGAAAAAAAAAAAAGAAGCATATGCCTCACTGACCTAGCAATTCTATAACTAAGACTTTACCCTAAGGAAATAATCAGATAAATATGCAAAGAGTACGAACAGATATAGTTACTGAAGTATTATTTATTAGAGTAAAAATAGCTAACACATAGGAGAATAGTATAGACTTAAAAGAAAATACTTACATGGCAATGTGGATCCATCTTCACAGTTATGTGCGTATGTAGAATAAGACGATGCTATGCATATAATAAAAACTTACTAGAGAATAGTAGATAGCTTGACAAAGGTGGCAGTGGCAGGATTACAAGTGATCTTTAATTTTTCTTAATAGTTTTCTGATTAAAACTGTTCTTTGCAATGAATAGATAATAACTGTATTTGAAAAACATTAAGCATTTTCTCAGGAGAAGGGATAAAGTGAACAGCACCAGAGAAGTAACTCCAGGGAGCTAATATATAGACATAGACTGAAAATAGAATGTAACATTTCCACTTTGGTAATAACATCTCACTGTTTTTTTCTTTTAAGGAGGGATTTTTTTCAGTCTTCACTGTTTTAATCAACAGGATTTTTTTTTAACTTGAGGACTCTATTTTTGGTATCCCACTAGAAAACTTATTAGATTAATGTTTGTTTTTCATGAAGAAAAGTACACTTTGACCTGAGTCAAATTATTCTAATTTCTTTGTAAAATTTCAAACTATTGGTTATTTCTATTACCTGGAAAACAAGGAGAGGCTGGTCACAGATTTAAAAAATCCTACCTGAGTACACTTTTTAAAGTCATATATTAGAAAGAAATAATCAATGTGAAAGATAGAGGAATTGGTCCTATTTCTCCAATTCAGGACAATTAGATGCTGAGACCAGGGATTAGCAGGAATTCCTAATCTGACAAACCCAGTGTCCAAAGACTACATAAGCATTGATACTCTCCTCTCTCCATTTCCAGATTTACTTGACTTATCACAGAAAAATTATAAATGTGGCCTAGTGTTCATTGTGCCAATGTCTTTCATGGGAGAGTCAGAAGCAAAGTGATAAACTGGTAGTGTATTCAGGTCTTTGTTAGACATCATGGGACATGCTTGCTCATGTTGATATTTGGCATAGGATCCTTACATCAGATAAATGGAAATTTAGATTTACTGGGAGATCATATAATTACAAATTATAGTGACACTCAATTACTGAAATAAAGATTTTATTATCTTCTTTTAGGTAATGATCTTTTTTTCTTACACTCTTTCTTTTTGATTTTTTAAAATAGCAAAAGTAATATATACTTACTGGAACAATTCAAATGCAATATAGAAATGTAAAAATGAAAAGTCAAAGTTCCTCGCCTACTGATCTTTACCCTCCTACCTGCTAGCTTCCAAGTGGTGGTTTTCAAAGGGAGTTCATGAGCACTGGCAATCACGAGACCCTTTCAGGGTCTGTGAGGTGAAACAAATTTCCATAATAGTATCAATATGTTATTTGCCTTTTAATGCTTATTTTCTCATTAGCATACTGTGGTGTTTTCTGGAGAATACCTAATATATAATGCAATATTCAGCACAGAAGCAGATGTGAGAATCCAGCTGTCTTCTATTAAGCCAAACACCAGAGATATTTACAGAAATGTAAAACAATATAATTCTCACTGAAATTTGTTTTGGAAATACAGTATTTTAAAATAAAATACGTAACTTAGGTAAGCACGTCATAGTTCTATTGCTAATTTGAAAAAATAAACATTTAAAATTTTATTCATTTAAATTTCTAATATACAGACAGATCTTTAGTCTTCAGTAACATTTATGAGTACAAAGGGTTCCTGAGACCAGAAAATTTGAAAATTGGTATTTTACAGGAGCAACTATTAAAACTTTGTGTTTATTATTAAAATAGAGTATTCTGATATGTATGTAAGTTACTCTCTTTCTCATAATGGTTCTTTTAAGGGAAAACATTTAATTTTATTTTTTTTTCTTTATTTTTTTTTCCATTTTTCTTTTATTATTCATATGTGCATACAAGGATTGGTTCATTTCTCCCCCCTGCCCCCACCCCCTCCCTTACCACCCACTCCACCCCCTCCCGCTCCCCCCCTTCAATACCCAGCAGAAACTATTTTGCCCTTATTTCTAATTTTGTTGTAGAGAGAGTATAAGCATTAATAGGAAGGAACAAGAGTTTTTGCTGGTTGAGATAAGGATAGCTATACAGGGCATTGACTCACATTGATTTCCTGTGCATGGGTATTACCTTCTAGGTTAATTCTTTTTGATCTAACCTTTTCTCTAGTTCCTGGTCCCCTTTTCCTATTGGCCTCAGTTGCTTTTAAGGTATCTGCTTTAGTTTCTCTGCATTAAGGGCAACAAATGCTAGCTAGTTTTTTAGGTGTCTTACCTATCCTCACCCCTCCCTTGTGTGCTCTCGCTTTTATCATGTGCTCAAGTCCAATCCCTTGTTGTGTTTGCCCTTGATCTAATGTCCACATATGAGGGAGAACATACGATTTTTTCTTTTGGCCAGGCTAACCTCACTCAGAATGATGTTCTCCAATTCCATCCATTTACCAGCGAATGATAACATTTCGTTCTTCTTCATGGCTGCATAAAATTCCATTGTGTATAGATACCACATTTTCTTAATCCATTCGTCAGTGCTGGGGCATCTTGGCTGTTTCCATAACTTGGCTATTGTGAATAGTGCCGCAATAAACATGGTGTGCAGGTGCCTCTGGAGTAACAGTCTTTTGGGTATATCCCCAAGAGTGGTATTGCTGGATCAAATGGTAGATCAATGTAGCTTTTTAAGTAGCCTCCAAATTTTTTTCCAGAGTGGTTGTACTAGTCTACATTCCCACCAACAGTGTAAGAGGGTTCCTTTTTCCCCGCATCCTCGCCAACACCTGTTGTTGGTGGTGTTGCTGATGATGGCTATTCTAACAGGGGTGAGGTGGAATCTTAGTGTGGTTTTAATTTGCATTTCCTTTATTGCTAGAGATGGTGAGCATTTTTTCATGTGTTTTTTGGCCATTTGAATTTCTTCTTTTGAGAAAGTTCTGTTTAGTTCACTTGCCCATTTCTTTATTGGTTCATTAGTTTTGGGAGAATTTAGTTTTTTAAGTTCCCTGTATATTCTGGTTATCAGTCCTTTGTCTGATGTATAGTTGGCAAATATTTTCTCCCACTCTGTGGGTGTTCTCTTCAGTTTAGAGACCATTTCTTTTGATGAACAGAAGCTTTTTAGTTTTATGAGGTCCCATTTATCTATGCTATCTCTTAGTTGCTGTGCTGCTGGGGTTTCATTGAGAAAGTTCTTACCTATACCTACTAACTCCAGAGTATTTCCTACTCTTTCTTGTATCAACTTTAGAGTTTGGGTCTGATATTAAGATCCTTGATCCATTTTGAGTTAATCTTGGTATAGGGTGATATACATGGATCTAGTTTCAGTTTTTTGCAGACTGCTAACCAGTTTTCCCAGCAGTTTTTGTTGAAGAGGCTGCTATTTCTCCATCGTATATTTTTAGCTCCTTTGTCAAAGATAAGTTTTATAGTTGTGTGGCTTCATATCTGGGTCCTCTATTCTGTTCCACTGGTCTTCATGTCTGTTTTTGTGCCAGTACCATGCTGTTTTTATTGTTATTGCTTTGTAATATAGTTTGAAGTCAGGTATTGTGATACCTCCTGCATTGTTCTTTTGACTGAGTATTGCCTTGGCTATTCGTGGCCTCTTGTGTTTCCATATAAATTTAACAGTAGATTTTTCAATCTCTTTAATGAATGTCATTGGAATTTTGATGGGAATTGCATTAAACATGTAGATTACTTTTGGGAGTATCGACATTTTTACTATGTTGATTCTACCAATCCATG